ATGAATTTGGAAGAATTTGCCAATAGTGCTGCTCAGACTGGAATCTTAACACAACAAGAAACAATTGACGTCTTTTTGCATTTCACTGCTAGTAATAAACCTCAACTTTGTTTTCCTATTAAACCTCGACAAGGTTTAAAAACTCAAGTAAGTACTATGAAACGAAATCATTAATAGTTCTGTAATAGTTTGTAACAGTTAATGTATAGGATTAAAAGCTTGTATAGAATAATAAAACCAAAATTTCAAATATTTTATTTGCAGGTTTGTCATAGGTTTCAGTCATGTGCATATAGATCAAACCAATGGCGTTACAGAGGCAGGTGTGATTCAATTCAATTTAGCGTTGACAAAAGAATATTTGTTGTTGGTTTTGGACTCTATGGAAGCTCATCTGGTGCTGCAGATTATAATGTTAGAATCGAACTGAAAAGATTGGGATGTGTTTTGTCTGAAAATAGTACGAAATTTTTTTCGGATGGTTCGAGTAGTACATTTCATGTATATTTTGAAAATCCAATTCAAATCGAACCAGAATGCTTTTATACAGCTAGTGTAATCTTGGATGGAGGCGAGTTAAGTTATTTTGGTCAAGAAGGCATGTCAGAGATAACAGTTGGTAATGTAAACTTTCAATTTCAATGCAGTTCAGAAAGTACAAATGGTACTGGTGTACAAGGAGGACAAATACCCGAATTAATTTTTTATGGACCACCAGTAGATGACTGATGGAAATTTATTACAGAAATAATGGTTTAACTGATGGTCTCTAAAAATTTGTATCTTAATATCGTTCCAGATTTTGTATAATTGTTATTTTAAGTATTATTTTTAAATTGATGACAAATGTTGCGTAATAGATGCACTCTTAAATATTAAATATTTATACTTTAAATTATAATCATAATGAATAATTTACAGAAATTATAATTTTATTATAAATTTATTATTATTATTCTATCAACGAAATATAAAAATTCCTTTATTTTAAGTCAAAGATTATATTAAATTTTCAAATTAAATATTTTATAACAATCTCATAAAAATTTATTTTCGTAAAATTGAAGTAATATAGAGATACTTATGTGAGATATTAAATAATAAAACAGTATTAAATAAGGAGCAATTAAGGAAACAAATATTTCATTATATTTAAATAAGAATTATGTTTTAAATCAAAATTTTACATAAGAGTGTATCTATTACCACTTTTAATGTATTCAGATATTTGTGCTTTATCTTTTTTTCTTTTTTTTTTTTTTGAAAAAAATTATGTTTTTTATATAACTTAAATACTTGAAACATTATTTGTAAATATGCAATGAGTGAAGTATGTGAAATACTTGTTAGATAACGTGAAAAGGAAAAATATGTAAAAACAATCTTTAAATTAATAGAAAATTGAGAAAGTTAATAAGTGCTATTTAAAAGGATTTATTATCTTTAAAATTATTGTTAAATAAAAATATAAAAGAATAAACAAAGATCAATTAATTTTGGAAAATATATTGTTATCTCAAGTAATTAATTCTCAATTAAGAAATACTAATATATAAATTATAATTTTTTTTAAATTAAAATACATTAAAATTTCAAATGTACAATGTAAATTATCATTTTACGAAGGAGAATATATTGTTTTTACGAACATAAATAATATTGATTTAATGTTGCATTCATATATCATGTTTTAAAATATATCATACTTATTGGAAAACATTATAAGCAATTTTAGAATAGTAATTGAAACTGCCTATGCAAAATGACATTTGTTTTCTATTTTAACATTATCTTATTTTTATATCATATCAATAAGAAAAAAGATACATTTTACTTTCTTTATTTTTTTACTCTCTTTAGATTTGTTGATTTCATAATATATACAATTACATAGAGATGATTACTAAATTATTAGAAGAAATATTTAAATGTGGATTAAATTAAAACAAAATAGCATTTTTGTATACAATATAAAATTCATAATAATATTTTATATAGACATTCTAAGATATTTCAATCATGTTTATATAATTTTATAGTTTATCATAATCTATATAAAAAGTAGAAAAAATTCTAGCATAATTTCAAGATAAAGTATGCATATAGTAATTATATATAACTATAATTCTTTTTTTTTATAATAAACATTATATTCAGTAATGCCATAGAATCTGGCGCCAAAGCCTACACTGCAGAATAATAATTACTATTTAAAAAAGTACAACAGATTACAATATCAATAATAATAAAATGTACAAAATAATGCCTTTCTACTACTAATATGACTGGCTGGTGCCAAAAGAAAAAAAGAATAAATAAATTTTGGGAGCATCTCTGTATCAGTTTAAGATTGGCATTAAAAAATATATATTAATTATCTTTTAAAACAATATTAAAATATTTAGTAAACAATTTTAATTTGAATTTAAGTCATTAGTTTGTTACTAATAAATAAAAAGTTTAGTTTTATATCCTATATTTTAAATTTTTAGTATTATTTAAAATAAAGAAATTAATTAGCATTATGATGTAAAATATGAAAAGTGTAATGTCCACACAAGCAATAAATTTACATAAATATAAAAATTTTATGTAGAAATAACCATCTTACATTATACTTTCATGTATTATGAAATATTTCAATTTTCTTAATTATTAGTAATATATATATATATATATATATATATATATATAATAAAGCTGACTTTTTAATTAATATGTCATACTATTGCTAAAAACAACTATGTGCATATAAAGGTACAAATGTCATATTTAATATTCAAACACTTCAAATGTGAACAAATTTTTACTACTCTTAATAAACTATTTAATTTTATATTCTTTAAACTGTAAAATTTAATGTGATAATGTAAAATATCAATAGAACTTTTTCCCAGAGGTAATGTTGTTTGTGATAAAAATAATTTGTGTAATAAGAAAATTTATATTTGAAGAATAAAACAGATCAATCTAAATCAAACTGTTTTGTTCTATAAAAAATTAAAAATTATTTATGTATAATGCAACATTGAGTAATATTTAAAAATTAGCTAATTTGTTTTTAATTGAAAGTAATGCATGAATTAAAAGTAAAAATTTATAACATGCAAATTCACAAAGTGCTCACCTACTGAAGGTATATTGATGCAAAGAGCTTGTGTAAACCTCAGGTATGTGCGTCCCAATTCATGAACACAAATTTGCAGAACATCGCTGATATCAATGAGCATATCTAATTAATTAGTTAAGTACACATTTCAGTTTCAAAAACTTGTCAAAAAACAGAATTTATATTTCAATCTAAACCAAGTACTCTGTATTTATAAAATAAATATAAATTAACAAAAATAAATTCAAGAAAAAGAAAATTAAAAGGAAAATATTGTTGTTTATTTTATGAAAATAAAGGATACGTGCAGTGCCTTCTGTACGGCAAGTAATATAAACACAAGCTGCATGATTATGTGCTTGTTTCCTCCCACGAGTTAACTGACGATTTAATGCCATTTTATAAAAATTCATAGATGTATCAATACAATGTTGATTTAATCTAGTAACAAAATAAAATATACATTAATTTTATAAAGTATAATATGCAAAACTTACTGATTATATTACAGAAAAAGTGTACATACTGTAATTGCATACATAAATGAGTTATTCCTTTCCTTGCATTTTGTAATGTTATTCCTCTTGATTCTTTCCCATTAACATGATATGCTATAAATATAAAAATTAGATAAATGTTAGGAACTAAATAAAGAAAAGAATGAACATAAAATAAATAGTGTTATATATTTTATAATAACATACTTGCTCCAAATCCTGTGGCTCCACCAGTACTATCATTAGCAACAAATTGGCCAAGTACCATCATATTTCCAGATGGTGTTTCTTTAAACGCTGTTTCGCTAACAATAAGTTGGTCTTCCAACACAAAACCACAATCTGTACAGACAGCATCTCCTCGGGCTGGATCTGTTTCAATATCTGTAGATCCACAATTCCGACACTTACTTGTAGACATCTGTTAAATCGCAATATCATTAAAACATCATTTAAAAAGAGATCTTTTTATTAAGAATTTAATAATTTTGCGGAACAATATTTTCATATGATTTGTACTTAATTTAAAATATGTGTACATTAATCTGATTAAAATATTGTAAAACTTAATATTTTCCTAAATTATACAAGCTACTTAAAAAATAAATGAAACAATTATTTTTAATAATTAAAGTAAACAATAATTTAAAAAATGTAATAATTTTTGCTGCACTCTTTTAAATTATGTTTGCCATATTATATTTTGTTCAATTTTAAATTACTGAAACTATGACATTTTAAAATTATAGGTTAAACAATTCTGTTAAACAACAATGACATGATAATAAAATAATACTATATTATACCTTGTTATATTTTAAATTACGTAGATTTAGAATAACTTCAATTTTTGTCTAATATAATAACCTTAATCAGTTAATTTGAGAGCACATGCGTTATTGCAAACATGACATAAGATTTAGGTACAAAAAATAAATGCATATATTCAACGCTTTCAGCAATGCTTCGTTTGTGTGTGTGTGTGTGTGTGTATGTACATCATACGTATGTATATATACATATATCCACACACAGTATAAACCTTTTAAAGTAATATTAATTTTTTTACAATCATGCTTGTAATATAATAACAATTTATAGTTATCTTAATAACTTAAATAAATAAAAGTAATAATATAATATTAATTAATTAATGTATTCATTACGTGCAATCTTTTTTAATAAAAAACTACTTCTAAATACGAAACATTATTTGAAATAATTAAAAAATCTTTCTTCATTTATATTGTTTCATTTGTAATATAAATTCGTTTATTTTGAAAATTTTACTTACATTTTTAAACTGATCGAAATTTTAAACAGCAAGGAACCTTGACGTTTAATATCACGCACCATCTACAACTGAAAAACAATAGCAATAATAACATTCGAATGTTATCATCATTTAAATATACAATTCTATTCTTTGCATTCATAAATATTTTGTAATAAAAGCTAAAAGGAATCGTATGTATGTATATTATAACATTTGCGAGAAATATCTCTATTTGTAGCATGTGAAATGTTGATTAAATTGAAGGTTTGTCGCGCGTAAAATCAAAGTCAAATAATAATAATCTATTTCTCTGTAAGAATTAAATAATAAATTCAGGATGCCTTGTGAAATGATAACTTTGCAACTTGGCCAATGCGGTAATCAAAGTAAGTAGCTAATCTGTATTTTTATTAAAATACTATGTTGTAAATATAACCACACAAATACACACATTTCAGTTATGAGAACTACCTAATTTATGTTTGTCTTTAATTTTTTTCATTAAAGGTACAAAGATTGTAAAATTAATGTACCACAAGAGTAGAAAAGTTTATATTTAAAATCTATGTTAAACACTAATGATAAAAACTTCAATTTCTAGTTGGATTTGAATTTTGGAAAAAATTGTGTGCAGAGCATGGTATTAGCCCAGAAGGTATCTTAGAAGATTATGCAACAGAAGGGACAGATAGAAAAGATGTATTTTTTTATCAATCAGATGATGAACATTATATACCAAGAGCAGTATTATTAGATTTAGAACCTAGAGTAATTCATACAATTATGAATTCTCCATATTCAAAGGTATTTATTGCTACGTTTTTATAAATTTGACTTCATGAACCTATACGAGTATATTTTTTGAGTAAAATGCATTGTTATAAATATTGTTTTTCACAAGTTATATAATCCAGAGAACATTTATTTATCAAAACATGGAGGTGGTGCTGGTAATAATTGGGCATCTGGCTATCATCAAGGAGAGAAACTTCAAGAAGAAATATTTGATATTTTAGACAGAGAAGCAGATGGAAGTGATAGTTTGGAAGTATGTACAATTATTTTACTTGAATTAGTATTATTGGCACTTTCATCATATTAATTCGCATTTTTATCATATTAATAGTAATCATTATGTTTATTTACAGGGATTTGTTTTGTGTCATTCTATCGCAGGTGGTACAGGTTCAGGTATGGGTTCATTCATGCTTGAATCTCTTGCAGATAGGTTTCCAAAAAAGTTAATTGAAACATATAGTGTTTTCCCAAATCAAGACGAAATAAGGTATATATTGTGCAATAGAATTGTATTAAAACGAGATCACGTTCTTAATAGAAATGAACTAATAAGAAAATTCCTTTCAGTGATGTAGTGGTACAACCATATAATTCATTATTGACTTTAAAAAGATTGACACAGTGTGCTGATTGTGTTGTTGTTTTAGATAACACAGCACTTAATAGAATAGCGTCAGATCGACTTCATATTCAAAATCCTAGTTTTACACAAATTAATAAACTTGTTTCTACAATTATGTCTGTTAGCACCACCACTCTTCGGTATTATATCATTTATATTTATTTCATTTCATTGTTCGTTGTAAAAGTTTTATAAATATTTATTTAATTAATTCATATATAATTATACTAGGTATCCTTCTTATATGAACAATGACTTAGTTGGTTTAATTGCACCATTAATTCCAACACCACGATTACATTTTCTTATGACTGGTTATACTCCACTTACTACAGATCAAGAAGTGAGTATTTATTTACAAAAATACACATATTTAATGTTTTAAAAATATTTTAAATAAAATTAACTTTAAACAAATTTAAATAAAATTAACTTTAAATAAATTAACTTGTTTCTTATAATTAATAGGGAGCTTCTGTAAGAAAAACTTCTGTATTAGATGTGATGAGACGTTTATTACAACCGAAAAATATGATGGTTTCTACAGCTTTAGATAGAAATGCATCTCACTGTTATATATCTATCTTAAACATCATTCAAGTATGTGCCATTTAAAATATTAGAGATCAAAGTAGAATTATAATCTTATAAATATAATTTTTCAGGGTGAAGTAGATCCAACGCAAGTTCATAAATCTTTGCAAAGAATTAGAGAAAGGAAACTTGCACAATTTATACCTTGGGGACCTGCTAGTATACAAGTAGCCCTTTCAAGAAAATCACCGTATATTCAAAGTACACACAGAGTATCTGGCTTAATGTTAGCCAATCATACTAACATATCATCAGTAAGTAAAAATTAAAAAAACCCTAGTTATTTTAATTATTAAGTTTAAAATTGTTTAACAATTATTAAATACAGTAGACTCCCTTACTACTACTCGGTTTCATTTTAACCAAAATCAATTTCAACCGAGACAAATTTCGATTTTTCTATAGCAGTATTGAATTTCGACATATGCATTCAGTAAGTGTTGCATACCAGATTCATCGTAAGTTACATATATAAAACTAATTTTATAATGCAACGTTCATTACGTGTTCTTATTATTACAAGGACTTCAAACATTATTCATTAAATTTATTCTCTACATCTAATCTATAAATGATATTGTTGGATTATTTATTTATCTATTCTGACCGGTTAAGAGAGAGTCTACTGTACAAACACAATTAAAATTTAAAATTAATAATAATTGTTATCAGATATGTAATATGTTCATAAATACATATTTCAGTTATTTGACCGTGCCTTACAACAGTATGATAAATTACGAAAACGAGAAGCATTTTTAGAACAATTCCGTAAAGAAAAAATGTTTGAAGACAATTTGGATGAATTAGATAATTCTAGAGAAGTCGTCGAATATTTGGTAAAAGAATATCAGGCAGCCACACGAGTCGATTATTTATCTTGGAATCCCAGCAAATTAGAAACATAAAGTATTCAACGATTTTAATAAAATTAATATCATGCATATAAATAAGAACTCAAGATCTGAGTGTTACTTGTTGTTTCACGCTTTACTTTATTACCACTATAGTATTATAAATACTATTTTGAATTGTTCTACGAAAATTAAATTTTAATATTATATAGTAAACATCAATTTTAGTATACTATAAGTACAGTCGTTTTCAATCTTTGGACTTTAAGTTTATTTCCATTTTTCGTACATGAAATGGAGGTAATGTAGCAATTGTAATGAATCCTGTATGACCAGGTAAAGAACGAGCATGCATTGCAGTAAGCAGTTTTACTTCTTGTTTTTCATTTTCACTTTCTTGTGCCATATCTTTGTCTACATTCTAAAATATAGTTAACAAAAACTCATATTAGTATTTTCAAAAATGATATTTAATATCATATTTTAAACATAAACTAAGCACGTGTCATTTCAGTTATGGTATTTTGTATGATATTATTGTTTGTAACAATTGAGCGAAATAATACTTAATAAAAAAATTTTCATTTTGCAATATATATGTTAATTCTATGTATTATATTATACATACCTCATATTGTAAGCATTCTAAATTCAATATAGGAAGATTTTTATATTGTACATGAACTTCTCTTTGTAAACATTCGTAAGTGTTTAATTCAATGAATCCTTTTGATATTAATTTTGCACAAGTACGTTGAACCTGCTCAATACAAGGAGAGAAAGAACATAATTTTCCACCTAAAAATAAAATAAAGAAATGATCATTGAAGAAAAATTAAAATAAAACTTTTAAGTCAAATAATTTGCACCTGATTTTTTTAAAGTAGACACTGCATAATCTATTGCTAACCATGGATGTGGAAGATCTAAAAAAATTGCATCTGCTTTTGTCTCTAATTCTTTTCCAAATCCTTCGATGCAAACATCTTTACAACTTGAAGATACAAATTTACTAAGTCCATGCTTCTCAAATTCTGCTTGAGCAATATTTACACGTTGCTCATGAAAATCAAATGTAAAAAGATGACCATGAGGGCGAATCACACGAATAAGAGCATGAGAAAGAGATCCACTTCCAGTACCTAAATTAATAAAATAATAAACTAATAATGTGATGATATGAGCTAAATAAAACTTAAAGATAAATAAGTTAAATTATACTAATTATAAATTATATATACATTAATATTATTTATTCTATTATAAATACATTGTTTTAAAATATATGTTAATATTTGTTGAACCTGTTTCAATAACTATACTTCCTGGTACTAAATCCATTAAATGTAAAATCAAACTTATGTCAGGACTATAAATAATTTGTGTCCTATGAGGAACTGTTAATGTCCAAAGTTCTGGTGTTGGTTGTAGCACATATGCCCATCCTCGAGAAAGTTTTTTTTTAGTTCCGTACTTGTGTCCCACAAGAGAAAATACTTTAAGCGCTCCATATTTTGTTTGAAAAACATTGTCAACCATTTCACCATTTTTATTGGGAATTTTTGCTTTTATTTCTAAAGAATGCATATTGTTATGCCCTAAATATAAAATTATCACATCCCCTTCTTCAATGAATTCTTTTACTTTATTGAAACTCATTTTGATGCAAACAAATTGAAACTATTCTCAAAATATAAAGTCTTTGTTTCCCTATTTTATATTATTAATTTTATATTCTAATTATTATTAATTCATACAGATTATATTATTATTAACCAGTAATATTTAATGCATATATATATAAAATTTTATATAATAATATATATAAAATTTCTTTTTCACATAATTTACTACTATTTTATGTGCTTCACAACATTATTATCATATTATATTATATTATTTATAATATTTCACAATATCAAATTTAAGGTTATGTTTTACAATTGTAATACACGTGTTTAATGTTTGAACTTTAAGTTAATGTTATATAGAACTATATGTCTATTGTGAGCGCGTAAGTTTCTCATATACATTCTGTTATTTCTTTAGTATTATTTACAACAAAAAATTAATTTCTATAAATAAAATTAAAAATTAACATGTATTATAATATAACACATGAAATAAACATATTCATATATGTATATATTTTTTGATATGAAATATAATAGGAAATGATTGCGTGATGCAATATAATTTTGTGTAATATTATTTAGAAATTAAATTATATTATTTATCTTATAAATTTTGATAAGATATAATTAATAAATTCTGGTAGGAAATATAATATTTGTAATAATAATCTTTGTTTTATATTATTTGTAGTATCTTTCATTTATTGGTCATTTATTGGTTTATAAATTTTTGGAAAATATAAAACATGATAATAAATCAAAAATAGTTTATTTACGAGAAGAATTGAAAAAAAAGGAAAATCGGCAAAAATGATATTCAATTTCTGTAAAGTGGAAACGCGACTTAATAAAAGTGACACATTTGCAAAGATCCGTGACCCACGAGGCCACTAACAGAGCTTCAAAAAGTTTAAAAATAGTAAAATAGTTGGTAATGAAGTGCCGAACAGTTTATTTTGAATTGCAGTTCGAAAATTGTTTATACATAAATTTCTGTTGTTAAAATAGGAATTGGATTCTTATATCTTAGTCACGATAATCTAGAAATATGGCTTCAAAAGTAACACTGTCCCAGGCTCTGGGTACAGATGGAAGTGATTTTAATCATAGACAAAAAATTGCTAGTCACTATCAGATCAGGTAATTAAGACATAATAAAAACAATAAATACATTTTCTTCTTTTTTTTTTATCAAAAATTATTTGATGCTATACACGATAATATATATCCTGAAATTTGGAAAGAGCAATAATTAAAAATAAATCATTCTAAGTTATTTATTTATTATTAGAATTAAACCTACGTTCCTTTTAGCGCAACAAACAAATCAAGACTGAAATATTGTATATTTTTTCATTATCTTCTTTTCTTCGTTATGCTTGCCAAGTTGTCAGCTGATATTTTAGACCATTTGGATATATTCATCTTGGAGATTGAAGAATTACAAGTACCTCAGGTACATAATCTTTATTATAAAATGTAGAGATATTGAATAGAGGTACATAATCTTTATTATAAAATGTAGAGATATTGAATAGAGATAAATAATGTCTTATATTTTGTAGCCTTTGTGGTGGGAATATATTTGGTGTACGAGTTTGATGTTGAGTTTCCTTGCTTTATCTGCCATTAAAAGAAATAGAATTAAAACATTACAACAATACATGATCGGCATAATCCTACTAGGATACGGTCCATTACTTTATGCAGTTATATATTATTTCAAGGATGTTTGGAAATATTTAACTGTTGGCAAAACAGATGAGGTTCATTTTTGGCAGGTATGAATTTATTGAATTGAAAATAATTGGAAATGAAATACTTTGTATAAAATGTTTGTTAATATCTGCGAAAATTAATTTCTAGGATCTACCATATGGGTTATTATGGTATGCATTTATTCTCTTAGCATCTCAAGTTCATTCTTTTTCTTTGTTTTTTTCCTGGAATCTTTTGGTGGCTTGGAAAACACGGGGAAGTAAAAGAGCTGATTAATTTAACAATAAAACTCATTGAAATCAAGCATATCTGTGAGCATTATTGATATATACAATGATATATACATATATGTACTATTAACTCTGAAATTAAAACTATGAAAATATTGTTAATGTGTAAATATGTATATATATGATGATCGTGTGTATTATATTAATGTATACAAATGAATGAATTGCATATTTTAAAACAGTTAATTTTGTTTTCTTACAAGCCATTTTAATAATGGATTAATAAATAAATATTACAATTTCTGCAATTAAATATAATTTATTATATATAATAAAAGTACAATTTCAAGTAAATTATCAATTTTTGTTTGCATTATTTATTATAATGAATTGTTTATTATAAGAAAAACATTCTATGATGTTAATATCAACTAAATCCGGGTATAATATATATTTACATGTATATATCATATTGAATGCAACGACAAGAATTATCGATAAAATCTAATCTATTATGGAATTCTGAAAATTTAAGAGGAGGGATTTGAAAAAACATTCTAACAATTGCTTTAAACTTCGCGGTCTTTGAAGCGGATAAAAATTCCGTTAATACCAACTCACGTACATAAAATTTTGGAATAATTACTAGATCTATAAAGACCCTAGATCATGAGGTATTTTTGCATATAGAGGGCCTATTGATCGTCTTTAATAAAACTTGCACATATATAGATAATATACTTGTTCGTGGGAGACTTCGTGTCCTATGGTCATTAACATCCCGTTTGACATAGTTATTTCATTTTGTATTACATTGTTCTGAGTTGTGCGGTGAGTTTAAATCATTACAATAAATAAAAATTAAAATAATTATTTTAATAATTTAGTATAGAAAAGAAATTAATGAAAAACAATGAACATACGCATTGAAACAAATGAATTCTAAGTATAAATGGTATCCATTGTGATTATATAAATCAGACAATATTATAAAATAATTTACAATTGCTGATATTATTATTATTACTATAGAATCTATATTTATAATCTTCTATATATTCATATAACATTCTATAATATTCATAATCTGTTATTTACTTTCTATTTTATTTTTTTTTAATCTACGTTAAATCTTATTTTCATTATGAATTTTGTCAAATATCAGTCAAATAGATAAATATTTTCTGTGGAGCAATATAACAATTATTATCTCTTGACATGACAATTTGTAATAAATACAATATTAGTAAGAGATGTAATATTATGATATTAATATATGTTAAAAATGAGATAAAAAAAATATTTTATTTATTAAGTTTATAATTTTATTACTGTAAGTCTTATGTAATTTATTATTTTATTTTTCAAAACTTAAATAACTTGGTGCTGGTAAGTTAAATATATTTTCATATAAGAATTATTTTAGTAAAGTTTTTAGCATTATTAATGAAATTTTGTTTTTTATAATTTTTGTACAGCACTATTAGTTGTATTTAATTAGCTTACATTAAAAATTATTGTAAACTGTTGTAATTTCACCAATATATTTAGAACTTTGAGAAATGTATGATTAGTAGTTTACATTAAAAATTATAATTTATATTCATATTCTTTTTACTTTTATTATAATTTTCTTTATTTTTTTAATAAAGATAATTTGAAATTTAAATTAAATACTTTGTATAAAGGTAAAGTAAAAAAGTAATTTACATAGTACAAATAAATAATTTTTTCATTATGGTTAAAACACAGTATATCAAGTTTAATTAGTTTAATTATTTAGTATTGTAAAATTTGTTGGTATACACTGATCTAATAAATACTTTGATGTGTATATTTTAATATATTTATATTCATATATTATTTATATTTCGCATTTATTTATATATAAATAATATATATTTTTTATATAATTTTACAGGGACATCCAATTTCAAAATGTTTTCTAATCATATGGCGACAATTGTTCGGCTTGCTGCTCAGCAGCAGCAACAACAAAAACGTGGTATGGCAACTCTTAAAGCAATTTCTATAAGATTAAAGTCTGTAAAGAATATTCAAAAAATTACTCAATCAATGAAGATGGTGTCAGCTGCTAAATATAATAGAGCAGAAAGAGATCTAAAACAAGCTAGACCTCTTGGAGTTGGTACAAAAGAATTTTATGAACAAGCTGAAATTCAGGCACCACCAGAAGATGAGAAAAAGCTTGTAATAGCAATAACAAGTGACCGTGGATTATGCGGTGCTGTACATACTGGAGTTTCTCGTAATATTAGAGATGCTCTTTTAGCAGATCCCAAAGAACGCGAAAATACGAAAATTATATGCGTTGGTGAAAAATCACGAGCGATTTTATCACGCTTGTTTGCTAATAATATATTGTTTGTTGCGTCTGAAGTTGGTCGCAAACCACCTACATTTAATGACGCTGCTAAAGTAGCAAATGAAATTTTAAACAGCGGGTATGTTGATAATCATATATTATTTTCAAAATAATTGTATATACTTTTGTTTTGGTACATACTTCAATTTCAATATTGATGTTTGCAGGTACAGTTTTGGTTCTGGCCGCATTGTCTACAATCGATTCAAGTCTGTAGTATCATATGCCGTTGATCAGTTACCTCTTTTTGACAAAAATGCAGTGGTCAGTGCACCAAAATTATCTGTATATGACTCTTTGGATGAAAATGTAATTCAAAGCTATCTGGAATTCTCTTTAGCTTCTTTATTATTTTATTCCATGAAAGAAGGTGCCTGTAGTGAACAATCAAGTCGTATGACTGCTATGGATAATGCTAGCAAAAACGCAGGAGAGATGATAGATAAATTAACTCTAACATTCAATCGTACTCGACAAGCTGTAATTACTAGAGAACTGATTGAAATTATTTCTGGTGCTGCCGCTTTGGATTGAAGAAATATATAATATGCATTAAAAGAAGAATACACCATAGTGTTGGGAAGTAGATCACAATGATATTGTCAATTGGTAATTGATTTTACTATTTTCTGAAAAGAAAATTTTTAGCGATTTTTCCGAATCGCTACAAATGATCAAATGTTTAAAAATACACCAATATTTATAAACCCAACATGAAAATAAATTGTTAAAAAATGTTCATTGAAATATTTTATTTGTTACAAAATTGAAGCTGCCAAATAAAATAGATAATTCTATGAAGTTTTATATTATTAATGCAAATAAAGTTGTATATACGCCAATAGTACATATTAGATATTTACGTATTTAAAAGTAAATGTGTAATTATAATTTATTGTCAGTGTGGTTATTTACTACTGAATCTATTTTATAAAAAATTTAGGCTTTGGTTCTGAATGATCTGCGTCATTGGATAATATGAAATTTAGAGAATGTTATGAGTATGAAAGAACTCTCAATTTGAAATGTTATACGATTATTTATTCATTCAATACAATTTTACAAAATTTATCATATAAAAAAGGATAAACAACCTATATTAGGATTGTAATTTGGGGCGTTTAGAATGTCTAATGCATTTAAAAGCAACCAAAATTATATTGCAAACGTGCAACATGAACATGCGAACATGCAAACTTATAGTTTGAATAGTTTCGTATAATTTACGTTTTTTGAACGGATGAATTTTTGAAGCTAGGATTTTATATTTGGGATCGTTTTTCATCTCATATTACTCTCCAAATTTCATCTCATTATATTCAGAATACTAAAAATTTATCTTGACAATTTAAATACTTAAATTTTAACAATTTAAATACTTGCATAAAATTTTTTGCATTTTGTAAACTATAATTGAAAAACAAAGAAATTATTTACAGAAACAAATTTTTTAAAAATTTTCTTGAAACTTTATTGTACCATAAATTCATATGCTAACTAAATGAAATGGGCAAAATATATACATTGCGGAACACCGAAGTTATGCCATATGCATTTCTCCGATATCTGTAAAATATATACATTGCGGAACACCGAAGTTATGCCATATGCATTTCTCCGATATCTGTAAACGTAACCTCAACGTTATAACAAATATTAGACAATGGAAGGAAATCGGAAATCTCGTGTTATTCTCGAAGAATATAGTATACCGAACGTAAGAATTTACAATACAATATATATATATATTATATTATATAAACGAATAATTATTAATAATTCATTTTTTAGGCATCTGAATATACACAACAAGATTGGAACTTGCTCAATTTTAAAAAAGTATTTCTTTGTAATAGAAAATATATTTATTCTTTATTTGTAAAATAAAGATTATGTACTAAATTGATTTATACTTTTAGGAATTCAAAATTCAAATTGTAAGAGAGTCGGAAGATGAACGAGAATTAGAATTTGATTTAATAGGTTATCCTGTTGGTTTTGCCAATGCATTTCGTAGAATCCTTTTAAGCGAAGTACCAACTATGGCCATAGAAAAAGTTTATATTGTAAATAACACAAGTGTAATTCAAGATGAAGTTCTAGCTCACAGGTAATTCTTTATATTTAGAATCTACATTACACTTTCATTCAAAATTAATAAAGATACATAAAATATATACATATATATTGGTTTTAAAGGTTGGGTTTAATTCCACTTCGAGCTGATCCAAGATTATTTGAGTATCCTTCTAATAAAGATGAAGATGAAGTTAGTGATCAAGATAGTCTAAGATATGAACTTAAAATATCCTGTACTTGGAATCCCCAAGCACCTAAAGATTCTAAAAGAACAAATGACATATACAGAAATAGCAATGGTATGTAAATATCTAATACGGTAATATTCATAAAAATTTTAGTGAAAAATAATTTTATTTTATAGTATATAGCAAAGACATTAAATGGGTTCCCATTGGACATCAAGAAGAACTTTATCCTCGTGGAGCGGAACAATTAGGTGTTCTAGAAAAAGATATTTTAATATGTAAAATGCGCCCCGGTCAGGAAATTCATCTTTTCATGCATGCAGTAAAAGGAATTGGAAAAGATCATGCTAAGTTTTCTCCCGTAGGTATGTTATTAATATTAAAGAATTTGTATTTTTAAGTTTTGTAGTATTAATGTAATTGAATGCATTTAGACAAGTTTTACTTGTAACGTTCAATTTTGATTTCATCTTTGTTTAGCTACTGCATCATATAGACTATTGCCAGATATACAACTAATAAAATCTGTTAGAGGAGAAATGGCAGATCGTTTAAAAAACTGCTTTAGTGTCGGTGTTATAGAAGTAATTGAAACTAAACCAGGTGATTTAGACTCCCGTGAAGCAAGGGTAAAAAATCCTCGCTATGATAGTTGCTCTCGAAATGTGTTTCAACATGAAGATCTCAAAGGATGTGTACAATTAAGTAGAATACAAAATCATATTATTTGTAAGTTAAATATTTCATTTAAAAAAACTTTGATTTAAAAATCATATGCAATTTCCATATTTCTTATATATTATCTATATTATTTTATATATATATGTATTAATATTATATTTTTTTTTTTATAGTTACCATTGAATCAGTAGGAACATTACCATCAGCTGTATTATTTATAGAAGCAGTTAAGATACTTAAAGGAAAGTGTAAGATGTTTTTAGAGGAACTGGAAAATATTGGAAAATAGCTAAGAATGTTATTTTTAGCAATAGAAAATAAAAACATTTTAACTTTAGTTAAATTGTTAAAATTTTTAAAATTAACTTTATAATAAATGTAATGCTCAATATATTTAATAAAAAAAATTTTTGTCTCAACTATTAGTTCTTTTAATCTTTTTAAAAAATGCAGTAATTTTTATATTTCAAAAACATATGATAAATTTAGATTTAATATCTTCTTAAATCAATGATTTATTGATATTTGAGGTTATTTGTTAACTTCAAGTTGACTTTTTTTTAAATATTTTATAATTATCATATATACCATTTCTGAATACACATGTAACTTTAAAAGTAACAAATCATTAAAATTAGGTTTTCTACATATGAAAATTTACTAACAAAAAAATCGTATACATTTATATTATTCAGTAAATTCATTATAAAAAATTTAAAAATATGTTTCAGAACGTTATTAATAAGAAATATATTAATCAAAACTTATCTTATCTATATCAAATATATATTTTTATCTCGCGATAAAATGAAACTCAGGTTGTAGATTGTACGAAATATTGTTATTCACTTCCATGTCCGTTGCGATGTGACACTTCACATTTCTTGCACGTTTAAAATTGTTACATCACAAGCAAAATTTATTCTGCACCGTCGTTCTAGTTTGTAGCTTTAGAATTACGGATAATGGGACTGGGAATTTTACGATGGAAAATATTATTGATTATTGTATCAGTTTTACTTCTTTGGCAATCCTCGAAAATGTGGTTGAGTCTCACTCAAGAGAAATCTGACACAGAAGGTAAAAATCCATATGTTTATAACTAAAGGACACGAAAAATGTAATAATTTCATTTTCCAAGATACTATCGGTTTTCGATTTGCAAATTACAGTTATTCGTTATTTTTTCAAACGTTTCAATTCTCACTGGTAAATCTGAATATTGTATAAATGCATATATTATTTATATTAAATAAGTAAACACTCAATGTACAAATTTTTCTTAGTATTATTGTATATTTCATGTGTGATGGAATTCCAAAAATTATTACTTCATTTTTATAAATATAAAAATTATTTGAGATTGTATTAATATCAATAAATTTTATCAGAAAATATCAGATAAAATTTTTATTTTCGTGTCAATGGTTTAAACAAAAATTTTAATTTATAATTATGTAATTTTCTCGATTTTCTTGGGTATCTGCTAAGTTTTGTATAGCACAGCTTCAGGACAACCAAGTGGTAACATTAAACCAAAAAGATGATGAGACTAAGCAAAAAGTTCACATAGCAGTGTATTATGAAGCACTATGTCCAGATTCACGCAGTTTCTTCATAAAACAGTTATTGCCAATGTATCACAAAATTCCAGATAATGTACAATTAGAATTTATACCATACGGGAAAGCTACGGTAAGATATTTTATAATGAGAAACATTTAAAAGTGATATACTTTTTTAATAGTTACAGATTGTGAAGTATTAATTGATTTTAGTATTTGTTTATTTTTTGACATGTATTAATATAATATATAATACACATAGTAGTAAAATATCTTTGTCTTCATGTATAACTTAGTTTTTTTAAAATATATACGTTAGTTTTGTATTATCATGTATGTACATGTAATAAGATATATTTTTATAAGGGATAATATGAAGTAACATAAACTCAAAATAATAACTAATTTCTAGTAAATATTATTAAAACATTATTTTATTTTTAGTTTTAATAACAATTAACATCATATTGCTATCAAGTATATTACTTATTTTAACATTTAACGTTTAATTACTCTCTGATTAAAAATGTTTAATTACTCTAAAGATAAATGGAAAAGAGTATTCCAAAACTTTCTAAAGTCTAAGTTCATTTAAATTTAATAAATTTTTACAGACTGCGAAAACTGATAACGGGTATGAATTTATGTGCCAACATGGACCCGTGGAGTGTGGAGCAAATATTATTCATGCATGTTCCATAGATATCCTAAAGAATACTTCCATTCAGTTAGAATATTTATCGTGTATGATTAAAAACAACATAGTACCAGTGAACATTATGGAAACTTGTGCAAAAAAAATGAATGTAGATTATAATCCTATTTTTAAGTGTTTTATTGAAGAAAAAGGCAAAGAACTTTTGGCTAAATATGGAGAATTAACAAATGCTTTAACACCACAAATTTCTTTCATACCAACTGTTGTGTTAAATGGAGTAAGTTTTTTAAATTAAGAAATTTTTAAATACAAAATAATCTATTCAAAACAAAATCAATTATTAAAAATTTTTGTTCCAATATATATTATAATAAAAATGGATTTACAGAGTTCTGAGAATCAAGCAAGGATATTAAAAAATTTACTACAAGAAGTGTGCCTAAATTTTAAGATTATGCCAGAAGGTTGTACATTCTAAAGACGTACGAAATATTTACAAAACATACTTCCCTGACAGATGTGCATGAAATATAGTATTTTTTACAGAACTTTTTATGGATTTAATGAATGTTAAGATTTAAATAAAAAAATGTCTTCTAAAGTTTTATTAAGGAAAAGAAATTAAATTAAAAATATTAATTTAATTAACTAAATGAATCGAGGAAGGGCACATATTGTACTAATACGCAATACTTTGTAGAATTATTTAAGAAATTTTTCAATTTTATTTATTAAGAGATTGAAATTTTTTTATTGTTATTATCTAGTATGACATATAATAGTAATATTATCCAAAAATTCCAAAATGAAAAATCTATGTCATTAGCCCCTAAATTACATTTTTTTCATTATTAATAATAAATTAAAATATTTTTATTGTACTATTTCTATTAATAATATATATGTATATAAATATCAAAATTTGTTCAAAATGTAATACTATTTTAATTTGAAACTGTACTATTATATAAAATAATAATATTAATAATACTTGATTAGTAATAAAATATCAGTAACACTTGATTGCTCATTTATAATGCATTTTACACGCATATTGGAATTTATAAATAATAATAAATTGAGTAAATTAATTCAACACGTAACAGAGTGGTGATATCTAAAAAAAAATATTAATTTTGAAAAAAAACTGAAAAACTTATTCTCATGTTTGAAAAAACAAGAGTTAATCAATACTTTAATGTATGGGAACAATTTATTAACTTAATATCAACACTTTATACAAACTGTGTCGCTTCGTCATGCACGATAAGTGAAATATGCCTTTGATATGGCGGAAAATATCTCGCATAAAATAGAAATTATGAATGTACAAATCTCAAACACAGGAGAAAAGAACATATAGCGAATATTTCTTCTATAGCCGAATGAATAAATACATTTATTGGAATTATTTTTCAGAGATAAACATCAAAAATAAATAACTTCTTATTCACGTCACGACGGAGTTTGGTAAATATCGTATTTTAATATTTTATATAATTTCGAAGAAAAGACTGAGAAGAGGTGACTGAAGTAGAATTTTCACTATTTTATTTGCGAGGAACAAATGTTTTAAGAAACGAGAACACGATTTTGTAATAGATCTCAAGCTTTAGTTATTCTCGAGATACAATACTGATTTTTCTTTTTTTAAACTTAATATCGGTTTTTAGCGCTCGCTGTGAAGAACTTTTGTAAAATTATAGTTTAGACTATGAATGTATAACTTTTGCGACACGAATATAAAATTAATATTAAATATTGGAATATATCTTTTTAACTTAGACTTAAACACTAACCGTCAATGATCGATGAAACGAGCAATAACTTGTTTAAGCATTTAAATAGAGATGTTTTTTGAGTAAGTTCTATATCACCATTTACAAAAGGACTTTGTCGTGATTCCTCTTTCCTTTTTTTTGCATCTTTACAAAGTGAGAACATTTTCTCCGTAAACCACTAAATTTTAACTTTATGTTCACAATAACGATAACAGCTATCAGAACGATCGCAAGTGAAGTAAAATAGTTTTAAGAGTTCTCTTTTTGCGATTCGTATGCCTTAATATTTTTATAAAAGGCTTTCGAACCGATGAAACTTCATAGATATGTTAACGCGAATCTTGACAGTGAATTATACACATAGATTTTGTCGGCAAACTATTTCTAGATGCCATTGAAAATGACGATGAAGATAAAAATGGCTGAAACGAGAGGTCCATTGGTTAATGAAGGAAACGAATTGAGTAGTTGTGACCTAAAAATGAGGATACATTTATTTTGTCTTTTTATGATCAATGCGATCTAGGTCACCAGAAATACAAGTACTTCTCATTTTGTTCACTTCAATATTAAATAATAAAGGACTGTGGAGGTTCTTTCTTCTTTTCTTCCTTCTTTTCGTAAATTAGTTTATATATATATGTATATATGTATATATACATATACACATATATACGTATGTATATATATACATATATATGTATATATAATATATATTACATATATATTATGACTGAACCACCGACACGCATGTGTTTTCCACTCTTCGGTGTTTGTTCTTAGTACTTAAGTAACATTATCATACGAATCGCACAAAATCACACCAGTTTCTCCAATTTTAGTTGTTGATCTTGCGAGACTGGCACGCACCCCTGGGCGAAGGAAAATATAATGCACCAATCACTGTGTTGTGACTTAACTTTTTTTTTTAAATCCCTCATCCCTGTTTCTTTATGATTCCATTCATATTTCAACAAAAGTGGTGTCGACGTTGCATAACGCACACGCGTTTTAAGGCTTTCTCAGTGAAGATAAGATACAAACGGGAGATTATAATGAAATTGGATACAGAACGCACTTGGTGAAATGTCTATGTTTGTCGTGTACGCGTTTGTGTATATATGTGTACATGTATAATACATGTCATGTTTACGTAGGTTTTTTTAAAAGATTACAAAGCTGAAAAGGCATAGAGAAGTTTTACCAGGAGTATCAATATTAATATAATCAGATTCCGTAGATCTTGTGAATGTGGTTCAAATTAGCGTTACGCACATCTCTGAATCACTTGACGATTCTCCGCATTTTCTTTCAATTTTAATAATACTTTTTTTCAACTATTAAAAATTGAATTATCCACTATGACGTAACAAGGAATCCAGTATACGCGGAATCATTGGTAAGTCAAAGGTCGAAGCCTATATTTCGAATTTTGGAAAACAATGCCCAATTCGAATTTTCTTTGGCAAAATAAAACAAACGCTTAATATGTACGTTACTGATAAAATTTCTTGCTACAACAAATGCTGTATCAATGATATAAGCACGTTTTCCTTGATCGAGAAACGAGCAGAATAAATTTTCAATTTATCTCGATCAACAAACGAACCTACACGATGCGCTATAATAGAGATTTTTCCTTTCTTTTAATACTTTTCCTCTCTTCTGTCCACTAATTAATAATTGCATTTTTTTTTTTAATACATTGAAAAGTAGATTTTACAAGGGAAACTTACACATGAAAGTCTTCAAAGATACGTGCAGAGAAGAAATAGGAAAAGGCCAAAAAGAGAGGAAAGTAAGGAAACACACTATTTATTTTATCATCAACAAACATGCGCGCCTGTTATATATATATATATATATATATACATATACTGTATATATATGTATGTGTGTGTGTGTGTGTGTGTGTATGTGTGTGTACATATATATATCTAACATTTTTTAATTATATTTTTTATACGGAAATAAATCATCTTTTATGTATTAGATGTATTTATGTGTGTGCTGCATATTTTTTGTATTTGTGTATGTGCGCGTGTAACATGTATTTTTATGTTCATGTTGTGTATAGTTAAGTATTTCGTGTATTTAGAGATAATGATTTTTAGTGGTATAACTTTTTAATTAAACAATTGCCCTGTATTACTTATCGTTAATGATGATTAACGCGTGTTGGACGTTGACTTTTCGCGTTTTAAAGACATCTTTGCGTCCAGATACAAGATTTTTTTCACTTTCTGGTCGATTCGCTTTTTGTTAACATTATATTTTTCTTTGTTTCTTGATTTATTTTAATACGTCAACACCACTTGAAGTTGCAAGTTTTTCCATTACACAGGTTGCATTCACTTTGATGTCATCATTGTGACGAATTCTAGACAAACAAAATAACGTAATTATTATTAGAAATACAAAATTTCAATTCAAAAATTATGCAAATACTTTACATATTTAACTATAATTTAGAAAATATTAAATAAAAGCAATTTAATTTAGAAATTATGGTAAATGTAGATTCAGTTGTACAACCTTCATAGTTCACTTGGCCATCTCCATCAATGTCAGCCTCCCGAATCATTTCATCAACTTCCTCATCAGTGAGTTTCTCGCCAAGATTTGTCATGACATGTCTGAGTTCCGCTGCAGATATGAAACCATTCCCATCTTTATCAAATACTCTGAAGGCCTCCCTAATTTCCTCCTCACTGTCAGTATCCTTCATTTTGCGAGCCATCATGGTTAAGAATTCCGGAAAATCGATTGTTCCATTACCTACAATTCCAAGTATTTTTAGTTTTGATTTTTTCTGAAATCAGATTTTTTCCAATGCTCTTAACAATGAGATAATGGCAACGATGTAAAAATTATTAAAAATTATTAAAAATTATTTCTTCATTATGCAAATATCTTAGATAACAAAATGATAAAATAACGTTGATATTACATACAATCTAAAAAAAAATACAAACATTGCATAATGAATAATAACATATGTGTTATATGTCAGTAATAAAATAAAATTAAAATAAAATACCATCCGCATCCACTTCATTGATCATATCTTGAAGCTCAGCTTCTGTAGGATTTTGACCAAGTGATCGCATAACAGTACCCAATTCTTTGGTTGTGATGGTACCGTCTCCATCTTTGTCAAATAGCGAGAATGCCTCTTTAAATTCTGCAATTTGCTCCTCTGTCAGTTGATCAGCCTTTAATTAAAAAATTAAATTTATAGTTACATATACATATCACTGATGTAAATTAATACTATTAAAAGAATTCAGCTTTAGAATCAATTGTATGACAAGTTCATTTTATCGAACATTGTACAAGTTTGATGTATCACAAAATACAATTGAATTTCTATCAGTTGCAATAATAATTAGAATAAAATACGTACATATAAACATTTTCTATCGTTTATATGTTTACTACTTAGTATCAAATATCAAAGAAATAAAGCTTCTGTTTGTATTATCTCACATACAATAAAGTGAATTCTATATATGTTGAAAAATTTTAAAAATTCTATATTTTGCAAGAATATGCCTAAAAAAACACGCGAATTTTTGTTGGCGAAATTAACAACACAATCACAAAGAAAGATTATTTTTAATATTCTTAACGATAAACGTTTTCTTTCTTTAATTTAGTTATTTTATGGTTAATGCATGATAATTAAGTCATTGATAATTAAAATCGTTGTTTATCAAGGCTCTGATTTGGTGGAATTGCCACCTTGCCGAAAATTCGAAACGGCTGTTCAGGTATTGCCCCACCCTCATTAGGAAAAGCAGCGGAAGGGCGTAACGGTGGTCGAGATATTCAGGACTCAGAATGTTGTTGATTGGAAAATTAATATTTTTGACACCAGTTAATCAGCATACATTCTTGATAAACGGAGACAGACATTCCAAAACTCGGAACATTCCGATTCTTATTCGAATTAGATTCGATCAAACATTACACTAAAATTCAATCTAATCCATACAATATATTTATAAAGAATTCATTCTTCAAATAAACTTCGACTTTTACCTGTTTACTCGCAAATATACGCAAGTAACAACTAATTAAAGTCAAAATTAAATTGTTTGTTCTACTCAATTTATTCAACTCTACATGCAATAAAATATATATCATGGCCGACAAATATTTACTATAAGCTTATGTTGGTAAAGAAAATTAACAAACACGTGACATTTGTGCACTTTTATTTACAAAAATTGTTACGTTTGTTATAATCAGATCCTCAAATAAAATGATAAATTAAATTAATTAATTCTTGTATTTACAAAAATAAAAAATTGTATAATTTATGTATTTGTACTTGCATAAAGATAAAATGTGAAGGAAATGCAGTATTTAATGTGGAAAGCTGTTTTAAATCAATCTATGAGTTCTAGAATAAAATACCTTAATATAGGTCAACTGTATGTATGTATGTATGTATACACATATGTATAATATGTACATGCTATGCTTTCTTCTATATATTTTATACAAAAATACTCATTGAGCATGTAGATCTATTAAACAAATGTCATAAATAAACTAATAGTTCGATATTCAATATTCAGTTGTTTATAAAAAGAAAGTACACACACACGCGCGCGCGCGCGCACACACACTGGGATAAATTTATTGTGTAGATATTTTTTAAGAATTTAAATAAAAAAACTTTATATTTCATTGGAAGACAATTAATTTTCAACAGAATCGAAGATTTATTTATAAATATTTTATATTCAATAAATAGTTCAGAGTGGTCAATCTGTATTTTAGGTTATGCGGTAAGACAATCGGCCAACATCTTTGAACGTTATAAAACCGCGGTTAAAACCGAGAAAATATTTTCAAAACTCAAAACGTTATCCGTTTTTGTTTAATCTTAAAAAGAAAAAAAAATGGAATTACGGAGTTACAAAATATGAAAATATATGTTTCGTATGGTATAATGCGATTATAAAATTCTTATTGTAGCTTTTACGATCTAGCACGTAAATAGTGCACGTTCAAATTTTCGTACCAAAAGATCGACGTTTATGGAAGATTAATTGAAGGATAAGTGCAGGAATGTATAAGGAATAAAGGAAATTGGCGCAACGACAAGAGACCGCGAAAATCAATAGTAAGATATTACCGTGTAATGGTTGATTGTGTCGAATATACTGCACCAGGAAAACAGTGAGAATGATAAAAGAAAGTCAAGATCATTCTTTCTCACGAAGTGCTTTGATTCCAAAAAAAAAATATTGTTAAAAAACTAACCTGTCACATACGAGATAAAAATTGATTAAAATTTGAGGCTTGTATTTTGAGACGAAAACAAGATATATTAAGCCTAAAAAACGAAATGATATTTCACTCGATTGAATATGTAATTGCTATTTCAAAAGTTTGGAATTATTTCACGTAAAACTTCATCAACGAAGAAAAAATTTATCGCCAATTGGAATCCACGAGATATTCGAAATACGATAGCAATTATCTTATAACCGATTTGATAATCTAGAGATAAAGTATTTTAAGCTGATAAATGTCGTGAATCGACGATTTCGAGGAAGTTTTTTCACGTCATTCGATATTCCAACGTACCGTTACACGGTATATTGATACACGACACAACGTAACACGAACGAATTAACTCTCAAAAAGTTTTTGCTTCGTTGCTGCAATCAAGCGGAAGATTTGAAAAATCATCGATTCCTGTCAGGATCGTGCGTGGTTTTCGCCGAATTTTTTTGTCGGGGAACGTTTCGACTTTTTAAACGGGGCGAGAAAAATGTGTATGTGAGCGACCAAAGGAGAGAGACGGATCGATAGTCGGTCCATCTCCACATACCGGCCATATTACGAATAGTAATATTGTAACAGTGCGTAGGTAAAAAAAATAAAAATAAAAATAAAAATAAAAATGAAAAATAGGACAACAAGGTGAGAAAAAGAAAATATCACAGGACCTGGGAAATAGAGTCTCTCGAACCGACGGGGAAAGACAGGGGGGAAAAAAGGTGTTTTGCAGTAAATGCGTATTGGTCGGTTGCACGTGCACTCGACGCGTCAATGCGGCAAACGAAAGCTTGGGCGAAGGGTGAGGGCGAGGGGCCGCTGAACGACGTCTGCATAGGTAGGTACACGCACCAGGCAAGAGAGAATATATTCGACTTACCATTTTGGCTCGGTTTTTTTACGTCTCAGTACGCTCGACGATCTCGAATATCGGTCTAGGCACTAAACACAATGGGATACTATTCACAATCTCTCTCCGAGCAGCCGTGGAAGGGAAAAACTTGTGTGCACGAAAGCACGGACAGACACGCAATACGACACAGCCGACGAGAAACACACTCGGGACAGCAATGGAGTCCACCGTTCTCTCTCGGTGTACGAGCTTCTCTGCCGCTTGTCTCGGTCAGGTATCACTACGCCGCCCCTAACGGGCTACGCGACGGCGTTCCGTGATTGGCCAATGGTCTGGACGGGGGTTAAGGGGAGTTCACGCGGCGATGCGCCGCGTCGTTTCCTACGCGATCGACAGATAGTCCCGTGCGGCTTCTCCTCTGCGAAAACCCTGAAAAAAAACGACTGGTTTTTAATTGGACAAATAGGAAGAAGTAGGAACGACACGACGTCCAACGTGGAGAATGGTCGTCATGGACAATCGTGCAAATCCGCTTTACATGCGGGGTGGGTGCGGTCGTGTTTACAGGACAAGTCCGGGCGAACTAACCAGGCCTGTGATTGGCCGACGCGCACCTGCAATGCGTCAGGCAGCCGCGCGGATTGTGCCGCCGCCGGCTACCGGGTCAAAGCCGGGCTTCCCTGCGAGAGATGGCTCGAATGCAATGAACACGTTTTTCGGCTGCGTTTAGGCCCTACATCTCTCTCCTCTCTCTCTCTCCCCCCCTCTCTCTCTCTCTCTCTCTCTTTCTCTCTCTCTACTTTTCTATCTTCCTCTTTTTGCTTTGTTTCTCTCTTTGGCTATCTTTGTCTTTACTTTACCCTCATTTTCTCCTTCCACCTCACCCTTTTCTCTTCTGCATTTCCTTCTTCTACTCTCTTTCTCTTTATCTCTCTTTATTTCTTTCCATTCGCTTTCTTACGATTTTTGTATCATTAGTTCTCCGAGTGATCGTATATAGCTTACCGAAGAGACCAGCTGTTGCAACGATGCCACGATAATATTGACTCGTTTGACACTACAATCCCCGTGACATCCGTCATTTTTAGTCAGTTTTGCCTCGGCTCCAGTTTCTAGAATGATCTGGAAATTCGCACCTTAAATGATAGCGATCAGGTGCGGAACAGGTTTAGCAAAACCAACGAAGTCACTTGACTCCGTTTTGCTATCTTCTCCTGTGAATGATATTAGGTCATGATGAGTTAATACTTACTGTCTGTGGAGGGAATACTTTGAAACACTTTAAGCATCCCTGGAAAGATATTGGTTAACGAACAGCAATCGCGAATCGTTGGTGCAGAAAGAGCGAAATGAAAAATGAATACTTCGCTGAATCAAATACCCTTTCACGCCCAAAAGAATTCTATTTCTTTTTTATTCATTTATATATATATATATATATATATATATATATATATATATATATATATATATTTGCATTCCTTTGTTATATTTAAGTTAAATAGAAGGAATTAGAAAAATTTTCTAATGATATAAATCCTTGTTTTCTCTTATTTATGAAAATTCTATTTTTGTCTTGTGTATTCGATTTATAAAATTTTCAATTGAAATTTTTTTATTTCAATAAAATTTTTACAGAACCCCTTGATTCTATTCCCAAGTTAGGAGGAAAGAAAATATTTAGATGACCTATTTCACGTGGACCATCCCTTGCGTTAACCCCAGAAGTACTGGAGGTTTCAATGTCCTTTCATAGAATCGGTCGATATCTTCTTAAATAAAAATAATGCGCGTACACGTTCGTTGGATAAAGGAATATAGTGCGATTAGGTAAGTGCCATTTTCAGGGCAAGAAATAAATATCGACTATAATATTTGATTTCCGAAATTTATTTCGTGCTGCAGCTAAATTCGTAAATTCTTTTCAGACGAAAATACTGAGTTAAAAATTTCAAGACCACAACGTGAAGTCACTACAAAGCTTTTATCATCGTTTTAATATTTCTTAGCGCATTAATTACATTTTGACCTGTATAAAGTATTCTACATTTTATTTTATCGTACACACACTTTAGCAGTATATTCTACGTATAACAATAAGTCATGTAGCAAAAACTTCATAATTGCTTTATTAAAAAAAAAAAAAGTAAAATATAAATAATATAATAATGTCATGTAGCAAGAAGTCCATAAATGCTTCATTAAAAGTAAAAATACACATGAAATGTAAAGCTATGTACTTATATTTATGTGTGTTGAAAAAACATGCGAGGAAATTAAACAATTACGATGAAATTTCTGTGTCTACAACATAATATACAACATAAATTCAAGAGTACAATACAATATCAATTTTAAAATGTATACATAAGTATATATAGTTTTATGTCCTATATTTTTCTTATAACTTTTCAATGGAACATTTTAGTCTTATTTTAGTCTTATCCTACAGAACACATCGACAAAGTGTGTCGATAATTGTGGGACATCCTGCATAATTTTACAAGGGTTGAACATATAAAACGAAGAATGTATACGTAGAAATTGAAATAAAAATTAACATTCAGTTTTGTACATAGGTACGTAAATATGTGCATATTTAATTGGTTTACGTGATATCACATCAACGGATGAATACAATTTAAATTTGCGTGATACATTTCACAACACGTCGTTGATTCATTTATTTGCGTTTCTAATCGGAATTTATTCATTCATTTATTTAATAACTTTTTAGAATTGTGTCATACACGAATTGTCACGCATCATATGTAATACGCGAATATTATTCATAGTTGAATAATAGATAAGAATTTAACGTAAATTTGTGTAAAAAATTTTGTTTGAAATCTAATCTGTTACAAACTTACATTAATATTATTAATATTCGTCATTTTGATGATTTATTGAAATTTAGATTTACTGACATATACAGATAACAATACAGATAAATTTTTAATTGAATTCTGCATTAGTCATGCTTACAGTGGAATTACGAACGCCTTCAAAAACAGAAATGATGAGATACACTATGATACAGAATGAAAACTGAATACCTTATTAAAAGCATGGAAGTTCAATTTACGGAATCATCAGTATGACGCGCAAGAAAAAAATGCGAATGACGAATCCACGATTCTATATATGAGGAAAAAAGGAAATATCCAATAAACTAATTGTTTTTTGTTGCATTTTCAATTAAAAAGATTCACGTAATTTCCGACTTTTTCATAATTTTTCGGTTTTTACGTCAACGTTATGCATTAGTGGCTATGTACCTAATTCGTCAACTAATTAGGTACTTAGCTTCAGCTAAAAATTAAATTTTCCAAGACCAGGTAATTAAAATAACACATTCTTGATTGCAAATTAGACTCAGTTAAACGTAAATTGGAAAATTTATAATCATTTATCATTTATCACTATATGTTTGTAATCCTTCATCTGAAATTAGTGCTATGAAAAAACTAAGTTCATTCAAGAATTCGTATAATTCTTTATTAAACCAGTAGTCATATAAATAATCTATTATTCAATCATTTAAATTTTAGACTGTAATTATAATGTTATTTTTGAATGTTATACATTTTTTGATATCTGTCCAAGTTATATACTATAATATTTTCTGTTTAAAACATTCAAACAAACAACTTTGTTAAATATTTTAACAATAATTGTATTTACATTGAAGAAATCAAAGAACAACCTTTAATATTACTATTAAGATTTTAAATTAATTTCAAAGTAAATACGTTTTGCATAGACTATAGATTACAACATATATTGTTTTAGTTATACAGTCATGTATCAATTACAAACTTATCTATTTTTATCCTACTACATTTCCATTTGGAAAGTGCAACGATAGAAAAATATATTAAAAGATATGGTTGTAAATGCACTGAACTTTATCTAACGAGTTACAAGTTAGATACGAATAAAATAGTGATTTTTAAATCGCGTACGGCATGTAGACATTAATCTTTTAAACATATAAAGTAAGGTATATATGATCCATTGCAAATTACACAATGTAACGTATGGTAGAACAAGTTTAATACAAGTTTAATTAAAGGTAATACAGATAATACAACAAGTTAATAAAGATAGATAAATAAAATCATTTACATACATAGTTCAAGACATTTGTACATCATATATATTTTCCGAATTAATTGGCAAAAATAATATCGCGCAATATCTGTTCAATTATATATTGCATAGTGTAATCCTTTACTGTTTAGTATTGATTACAATAATGAAGCTGTAATATGATGCGATAATCTAACGGTGCGATACAACGTAATACGGGTTTTCTTCATCGGCTCGTGTAAATGACTTGTGCAAATGACTTATTCGTCTATTTCCAGTACGCTAGAATTCTTAATTCGTTTAAAATTATAATGCCGTTTAGGTATTGATATTCATAAACTTCGTTCGTATCTAATAGATAATTAACAGTTTCGCTGGTGGCCGTGACCGATATGCGATAACGCCGTCGCACGATGTTCGCGATATCAATAATAAGCGATGAGCATGCGTGCGACAAAAAAGAACGTAGTATGTACTTAGTTACCTAACGGAAGTGACGGTTCCTCCGCACCATTTTTTTGAAAGTATACCAAGGTCACCTTGGAATTGTCAAAAGAAATTATAATATGAGGATGTAGAAGTAGAATATACAAATATGACTTGATTATGCAAACATATGCAACAAAATGCTTGTTTAGATAAAATCTTCGCTTATCGTGACCATTTTACACAAAATTTATAATAATGCAATGTCTATTTTTTTTTTTTTTTTAAATAATAAGCATCGACTTTTGAAACGAAAAAGGAAAAAAAAATCAGAAACTGGCTTTACCGTATTTTCGTACAGCTATTGCTTCATATTTTGTAAAAGTGCAACACGTACGAAATTAAAATAGTTGCAGAAAGAATTAAGTAGAATGTAGAAGAGAATTCTTTAAACATAAAAAAAAAAAAATGCTTTATCGATCAAATTTAATGAAGTAAATAACAAATGGCTCAAAGATGGAAAAAATTCTTTCTGCTGTAATTATGTAAAAAAAATTATCGATTTAATTTACATTAGTCACTATTATTCTTCGCAGCATGTTTCGTTTTCTTTCATTACATTTAAATATGTCGAGCGTTAAAAAAAGATATTAAAATTCCTAACCTAATAGTTGCACCTTTGGCTTATCCAATGTTACTAAATCTTTGTAATTTCAATGCAGTGGAGACCCGTAACCCTTTATAGCTGTCGTTTGACCAACACGAAAAGAAAAAAAAGAGTAAGATGATAATATGTAGTTGGTCGATTGTATTACGCATAGCCGTAAGCTCTGCAGATGCGTGATGCGCTAAACGTGACGCGGTACGACATTCCGCGGGCTAACAGTGTCTACGTGAACATACTGTTTTTGGGAATCGTTACTGGGAAAAATCGATGTTCGACCTGATAGGAGACAGAAAATATGGATTCATGACGCAGTTCCTCAAAGGGCCTAGCTAGTTTTAAGCGAGGTTTTCGAAAAAGTTCTGTGGCTAGGTTGCACTGGGCCTGCGCACGAATAAACGCGCAATGCGACACGCGATAGAATGGGACAGGGAGACTTGTAATCTCGTTAAAAAGAGACGGAACGGGGGATAGAGAAGCGCACAACGGCGTTCACGATTAACGGTAAGGAAGGGAATTTAATGGGTGTCATGGCAAAGAATGTTAATTTTATACCTTACGTTCATCGATGTAGCGCCTAATTGGTGTTAATTTAACAGAAAATGTATTGTTAAAGACCATTCCGTGTTCAATTTACAACGTGATGCAAACTTTCAATCACTTTAGATTTGAATATGTATCTGGGTGCAGGATAGAATGCTAATTTTTGATTGCAATTGAAGAAATTTAATTATTATTAAATCGTCTGGGCTGCTAGTCAAGTTAATGTCAATGACATTAAAATCAATAACATTCAATACTTTATTAAGTTTTATTTTTAACTTCGTTAACTTGATTAGTGATATTGCTGTACAAATTATTAACTTTATTAGTGATATTATTATACAAATAATTATCGTGGATAGTGATGTTATTATAATTAAGAAAATAATATTATTATATTTGTAATATTTATATTGTATTAAATAAAAAATATTTGAATCTAATTTAAATAAAAATATTGTATCATAGTGCATATATATATTTTTTTAGATTTTTTACTTTTTAACAGCATCTTTACGTTTCAATGTGTTGGAACGTGTAATATTAGAGTTTTAATAAATTATAATTCAGTAATTTTATCGAGAAATTTCGCGTGCTTTGTGTTACATCATACTATGAATTTCTTCATATTATATCATTTATTGAAATTTTTTACGAATTATGATGAAATAGTTGAAGCAAATAGAAAATAAGTTATTAAGAAGAATGTTAAAAAGTTAAAAACTTTAAAACATATTAATATTTATAAATAAATATTGCTATATGTATTAAATCGACATGTATGATTATTGAATTTTTTTATAATATTAAACTTTCCAAGAAATTTATTTAAAAGATATTATATTATAAATGTTGGTAGAAAAGTTCTAGAATTTATTTTAATCAATCAATATTCATTGTAAAAATATTTCTACCATAATAAATTATAAGGGCATACATTCAACTGTAACTTGAAAGGTGTTCAATAAATTTATTTAACACTATTATCTTATCTTCAGTCATAATATAAATAGAAGAAAATAATCTGAACCGTAAAATTTTATCTGATTTATTTATGATATAACAAAAGATAAAAGCAAACATCAATCTCACTAATTTTAATAAAAAATAAACGGCGAAACATAATTTTTACAAAATAACTTTTCCTTTTACACTTATTAAATTATTTAATATTAAATTATTTAGCTTTAGCTTTAATATTATTTAAATTATATATTAAAAATGTAGCATTAAGGTACAATCTCACAAGATAAAAATAGAGTTACAGCTATAACACATAAATAGCTAGATAAAGTTATAATATATAAATATAACTATAAAACGTAAATATTTGTGAATCCATTTCTACCATAATACTTTTTTAGTTTTATACAAATATAAAATATTTTTAAAACTTTATTTACAAAAAATGTTTGATATCATATATTTAAAGAAATTATTAAAGAATAATAATTCTCTTATAATTATTTCTTTATTAGAGTTTTTTTTTACATTGATTATTGATAAAGTATTTGCATAATTTTAATATTTTTTTTAAAGAATTCATTTATTTGTACAATAATGCAACAGTGTAGAGATAAGCAGGTACTATTGCCACAAGGGCAAACAAATGCCAATGTTGTACGATAAATTATTATCTGTTTTTAATCTTATTTAAATAAAAATTCTAAATCATTCAAATGTAACTGGTATCGAAAGAATTGGTAATATCGGATTCGTAGTTTCCACTTCCAATGCTGTAGCCATACAATCACTTGCTGCTTCTACTTCACCTAAAGATTCTAACACCTTTCCTAAGTTATACCTGTAAAATAGAATTTTATTTGATTAAAATTTTGTAACATATGAGTTATTCACAATTGCATCCTCACACTTTTAAATAGAAATAAATGAATATTTTTATACCATGTTTGATGAGAATTCGGATCAATTTTTGCAGCATCGCGTAATGTTTTTTCAGCTAACCTTTGACTTCCCAAATAGTGATAAATTAACCCCTAATAAGGAAAATAATCTTCAAATAAACGTATACTATCTCATCTAATAATAATTATTATTTAATAAACTACAATAAACATTACCAAATGTTGTAAACTTTTAATATGTGATGGATTAATTGAAACTGCATTTTGATAACATTGCTTTGCTTCCATGTATTCCAATTTATATTCATGAAGTAAACCTCGCTAGAATGAAAAATAACTTCTATGTACATATTACATTTTGACGGTGAAGTTATATAAAATAAAAAATAATTAATTATCTTTGATTTTTTGTTTGATAATATTATTCGAGCTTACTGTATACATAATATGGTGACTTAGCGGAAAAATATTCGTCGCTTCTTGTAAAGAAAGAACAGCACCATTTGGTTGATCCAAAACTAAATATACTTCAGTAAGTAATAACCAAACTTGTAATTGCAATAGCCATGCTCTTTGTGGTCCTGGTTTCGGAGTAAAAGAGCTAAGAGACGATGCAACTTCAGATAAGGCTTGTTCTACTCTTGAAGCAGCCAATGATTGTGCATGTAGAGAACCTATTTAAAATTTTGATTATTTAAAATTTTGTATAAAATAATTTAATTTTAAAAATTGCAAATTTTAAAATTAGAAAGAGTATTAATACATACTGGAATCTTTATCAGACATTTCAGAAGCATACAACTGAAAAACGCTTCTGGTTTCACTGCGTTTCTCACTATGTTGTTCATTACAATTAGTATTAGTCTGATCTTCATACAAATTCTTCCAGAGTAAAAGCATATGTCTTATGGTAAACAATGCTTGCTCACCACCGATACTTCGTAATTCAAGATGCGCTTTTACATAAAGAAAATTTAAATTATCTGGATATTCTTCTAATACACTGTTTATTAAATGCAATGCTTCTGAGTATTGTTTATGAGCCGATAGTAGTAATATCAATAAATGCAAGGATGGAATGTGTTCTGCCCGAAGATTTAACGCAATTTTTACATGAATCATTGCGTCGTTAATTTGTCTGTTAATTGCATATTCATGAGCTAAATAGTATTCTGCCAAATGATCATTTGGATCACACTGTTGCGCCCTATTAAATAAATATATAATATTATAATATATAATTTATCCTTTACTTTATACTTAATTGTACATACTTCTGAAAACATTCCAAAGCTGTTTTAGTATGATAAGTTTTATCCATTTTCACTATAGTGTTTGTAGCAAGAATACTATGACCAATACCAATATAGAGATGACATCTTGATTGCATTCCTTGAGAATTTGATGTTTCTCTTTGAAGTGCTTTTTGACTCCATTCGATACCTTCTTTTACCTGTTTATTTAAGTATATTTTCAGTATATTATTTTATGCAATTTGTATATAATATCTTACCATATTTAATTGTTCATAGCATAGTCTTGCGGCTAAAAGACAGGGCATTACTTTTTGTGGAGATAGTCTCGTTACCACTTTTAAAATTCTATATGCATGCATATATCTGCCCATACTAATTAAACATAATGCACACTGAGTCCATACATGGGCTTCTTCATGAGAAAATTTCATTGCTCTTTCAAATGACTATGAAAATATAACATTAAATTGTATCTTAATTCTGAACAGTTTATTTTATTTTATTATAATTACCTCATATAACAAATCTACTTGACTCCATCTCACAACAACTACTGTGAGGAGATCATATACCGCAGTAGCATTTTCAAAAGCATGTATTCTTGCATCTTTAAATTCTGGAGATTGACTAAGCACAGCGTCTCTAACCGCCATAGCTTCACTTATTAATAATAATAGAATTGTTTCTTCATATTCATTTCTTGGCACAAACATATTAGGACCTAAATATTTCTTTGGCTTCCAAGGTGAATCTAAGAAAGACAGAATAATGATTTAATATTTTATTTTTATCTTTAAATTATAATAACAGCCATTTTATCAATAGTATTACCTGCAGAATCATTTGGTGCTTCTGGAGCTTTATATTCCGCACCACTAATTCCTCGAACTAATACTTCCGCTAATTGTCTTGTTAAAGTAACTCTAAGACTTTGAGTAGTTGTGGACTCCACAGCAGATAAAATTTCCCTTATAAGTTATTGAATTTCATAAATAGAAATTGTTTATTTAATTTCTTAAATATTATTTCTAAATTGCATTGCATTATATAAATAATAGCAGTATTTGTTATCGCTGTCATCTTCTTGTTATCATTTTCTTTCTTGCATTTTTAATAAATAGAAACAATTAATTACCTGTAACGATTTATTGCACCTTGAATATTACCAGTTTGAATATACAATATGGGTGCCCTTTGTAGTGCTGTTTCCAAAATTGGTCCAATATGTTTTGTAGAACAATACGAAGACTGAGAGGAATATGTACCTGTTGATCAAATGATATTAAGGTATTAACTACAAAACCCAAATTTCTAGTTTTGTCACATTCCACCAACAAATCCTATATTATCACCTGAAAAAATATAAATAAACATTATTAATGGAATATTCTTTCAAAATGAATTTATCTTAATGCTTGCCATTATTGTTTTTTATTCAGTGAATATTCCTACTATGAATCATACACTTATTATTTATGTAATAATAAGTATCAATTAGCATTATGTGATGGAAGAAAATATATTAAAAAGGATCATCACCTGCATTGTTACTATTTATGGTAGACGTGCCATTTTGATGTTGCATTGCAAGTTTGTCTTGTTCTTGTAAATAAACCAATGTTAGATCTCCAGCAATTTCATAACATTTGATGATCTGCTCTTGCCATTCTGCTATTTTATATTTTGATTTGGAATTTGGTGGTAACTTTTCTAGACAAAGACCTGTTATAAATAAAAAGATTTATTAAAAGGAACTATTATCTAAAAATTAGTATAAAATAGAATATTAATATATTTTTGATATTAAGATATATATTTTTAAGCATAGAAATAATATATTTATAAAAATAAAAGCACTGTTTCAAGCAGATGTATTTTACAATATTTTAAGCACTAAATTAACATTTATTACATTTATTACAAAGAAACACAAATATACCAAACAAATTATTTACACAGATAAATCTAAATAATTCTCATCTCATAATCTAAATAATTATGTCTCAATTCTTTTAAAGAAATAAGTTATTCGTCTAAAGTGTAGTAATTATTATCAATTAAACATGCAATATCTTTTTATATATTTAAAATAACTAAATTAATTGAAAGGTATGATATAAAATATGATTAATGGATAAAACATTGAATTTATCATGCAACAGAATATTAAAAAGATGCAGGTAAACAATCTGAATAGAGTTAAGGAAACATAGTTACCATTAATATAATATCTTCCCTTTTTTTGGATTGTTGAAATTGATACAATTAAGCATGAAGCTGGTATGATAAGACAATACATATTTCAAACATTTTAAGAAGTATAGTGGTAAAGCATACACTTTAATAAATAGCTAATACACTTACACATGGCAAATAAGAGAAATAAAAATGAAGCAAAATACAAACCTTCAATTGCGTATGACTCAGCAAAAGTGCGCAGTCTTCTGCAGGATAAATGTTTCGCTGTGTTTAAAGTAAACAATCTTTCTTTCTCTAAGTTGTATATTAGTTGTGATATTAAACAAATTATAAATGTTTCCAAAAATCATTGCTTGTGTAACTACTAAATTTTTTGAATTGGGTATTACCTTCGGATTGATGAGAAAGTATATACTTAAGAAAGTTTAGACTACCAATAAGAAAAAAAAAATGCAATTCTATAAATTTTGTTAGAACATTAAGTGCAATACTATTCAATTTAGCATAAATTTAATGGTCTAAAGTACAGAAGTATTAAAAAACAAATTTGTTAAGTGAAATATATGACACCAAACTATGATAGATATAAATCATTCCTTTATTTAAATGGCAAGCTATTATATGTAATATTAGAAATAATAATGCACTAGTACATACTAGCAACGTATTAAATAATTCAAAAGCTAACTGATGCAAACCTTTAATTGCATATGACTCTGCAACAATACGCAGACTTCTACAAGGTAATGGCTTTTCTGTAAGTGTGTGCAATTCAGCTTGTTGATAATGTTTGAGAGCTTCTTCATACATTCCCATTGCATAATGTAATTTACCAAGTAGTAAATGTGCATCCAATACAACTAAAGCCTATAATTTAAAATGTTACTTAATAATTATAGATAAAATTTTAAATTAATTAAATTCAGAAATTTTTATCTTTCATTCACTTAAAAATAGTTAACTAAGATTATAATTACCTGTTTATCCTTTTCATTTGCTGCAAGAATTAAATACTTTCTAGTTTCTTGTAGCCCATTTCTAGCTTTTCCAATATTAGCATCTATAGGTGGAGTTTGTTCTAAAAAGCTTTCCAATCTTCCTTCTCCACATAAAAAATTTGCTAAACATTCTAAAATCAAAAGCATTTATCAGTATGTAGAGTTGCACATATACTTCTAGTTTATATATTTTAGTATGAAATCAGATTATTTTGACAATGTTGTAATATTTATTAAATATAAAATTTTATGAAATATTTATTAAATATAAATATAAATATAAATATAAATACTTATTTTTTAATATAGTAACTAATATAAAATCTCGTGAGAATTTATTATTTAAAATTTCGACAATAAAAAAAAGTTCATGAAAAAGATATTAGAATCTTTGCAGAATTAAAAATAAATTTATAATGGGACATGTTCATAATTTTTATTGATCATCTTGTTGACAGTAAAAATCAGATGTGTTTATTAACTCGCTGATGACCTCAAATTTTAAAAAATAGTTGAAAAAATCTTAACGTCAAATAACATTTCACATATATATTTGACCTTTGCTCATATAGAATCCTTACGATTTGACATGACTTAACGACTTTTTTTTACATAAACAGATTACGAAACTCGTGACGAGTGTGACAGTTAATTCCTATGAAACTTGATCAAATCTTTTCTTTAAAAAAACAATTCTTAAAATTCACAGGTATTTTAAAATTAATGAATGAAAGAAAAGAAATATTTACCATTGCTAGGGTATTGTATTTTTAGGTGTTCCGCCAATTCTATAACCTTTTTCCAATTTCCTTCCTCGCGGTTTTTATCGATTTCAGATTCAATTCGGAGGGTGTGTCCTTTTTTACTAGTCATTCTAATTCACGTCGGAACAAGAACGATACACGATATCAAATGCTTTCGTAATATTCAATAAGATGTCATATAATATATCGATCATCAGTGTTAAACGCGTGGGCACGACATAAAATATGCACATATGACAATCTCCATCTCAAGCACGTGCAATACTATTTTGAACTGCCTGTCACGTCATTGATTCTGCGAAGTGTAGATACGGTGCATCGTGAAACTTGCTAGTTAAAAGTCAGCGAAATTGTGTATCGACTGTTAATATATAAGAGTTTGATCACTGTTTGATACAAAAGTCTCATTTTTTTAAATTTATAATTCATACAAATTAAAATAAAACTTATAATTTGGTATTTATGTTGAAAATTAAATTTAATTCAAATGTGAACATATATAATAGAAATGACTATTTTTTTAACTGTATTTATTAAAATTATTTGATTTTACAATTGTAATAATAATAAAAATAAATTTTCTTTCATCCTTTTTAATATACATATTCACTTGTATATATGTATATATATCAACCACATTATATAAATATCTTATTTATACTTTATCATTTCTTGTACTCTCTTCTTAATCCCTGAAGTCTAAACTTCAATTGAGTCTTTTCAAGTGGCAGTTTGAAGATTATATCCCATTTTCTTTAAGAAATTTTTTATATCGTTTTTTCCATTTATCTTTGACATCCACGATGTTATGCTGTAATTTATGTGTATTTCAGATTTTTGTTATACATTACATTAACAGTATAATTCATTAATACAAATAATGTATTTCAATTACATAAAAATTACAACCTGCAATATATGCACTCCTCGTTGCGTAAGGACAATAAGTTCTTTCATTCCATCATGAGTAATATCCATATAACATATAGAATGTACAGGAGCGTCAAACAATTTTCTAATGATCAATTCCCATGTGTCATTTACGAAACAAAAAATAAGCACCTCTTGACCATAGGTTCCTAAGAGTATTTCATTTTGACCATCCATATTTATGTCAGCAATACAGGAACATAAAATGCAATCAGATGTTTCACTACCATTTAATGTTATATCTTCATTCATCCCGTTATTTAAAACATCCCTAATCAACGAAAATATATGATTGTTTTTGATTATATGTAATACAAAATTAACTTACATAAAGACAACTGCATTATTCGTATTTACAACAAGTATATTTAGCTTTGTTTCTTGATCATTTATAAAAGATTTACAATCTGTAACAAATGAAAATACTTATCAGTTTTGATTTATAATTAAGTTTTCTTTACGATATACTTTAATATGTGTAATAAAACTTACTATTAGAGTTAAGGAAACGAGGTTTCTCAATATTATTTTTAAGTGAAAAAATGGATACATTGGAAATAGGTCTATCATATCTCAATTTCCAACTTTGGCAAATTTTCAATTCTGAAACATTAGTTATAGCTACATTGACTAAACCACATTCACAACCAATTACTGTCAATCTCCTAAACAAATTAAAATTGAGTGTTAGTTGCTATAATGTAATACATAAAGACTTGTTTAATATAAATTATACCAATTATAATTATTATAGTAGTAAATATTAATCCATATTGCAATTCCTTGGATATCATGTAATTCAGGAAAGTACTTTTCAATGGATGATTCACTGTAACTGTGATTTGACTTATCTTCTCTGATCATGTGTATTTTATAATCACTGCCAGAAAGTAACCAAACGACCTAAAATCTTAGGAAAAGTTATAATTTTGCTACAAATTTGTAAGATACTATTTACTATTACTATTAACTTTTATATTCTTAAGCGCAGTTAGAAAAATTATTACTAATATGAAAAAATTACCTCATTAGGAGCATTTTGTTGAGGTAATATGGTATGATATAAATGATATGGTGTATATGCTAATTCCACCATTAGACAATTTTGTGCTATAGCTTCAATCGAACTTCCTTCATCTCCCTCGCCATCTATAGCACCTTCTGTGTATATATTTAAATATCTTTCTACAGATGTATCTGTGCTTGCTTTTAAAATAGTTATTCCTATTACAAATCCATCACCACTATCAGACTTATTATAAGCATCAATAGAAATAATTTCTGCACCACCTAATTAAATAAATGAAAATTTTTAATTAACTATAGAATATTTGTTTTTACATAATTATTGCTAATATTTAAAATTACAAACTGGGAATATATGTGAAAAGTAGTTCTTTAACCAATGGTCTTAAATGTAGATTTGGCATCAAATGATATTCACAAGAATATATTTTTCTTTTCAAAGAAGCCACCAATACTTTATTAGAACCATTGATGGAGCATAATTTAGTCATTGAATAAATGTTTCCCTGTGACGTTAAAGGAAACCAGTGTGCATCTTTTAAATTATTCATGATAAAATCACAGAAACAAAATCGTATTAAAGAAACATAGTCATTTAATTGTTGTGCAGTTTCAATTACATCATGTTTATAAAAAGCAAATAAATCAAATTAAATATTTATTCAACTTTGAAAAATCATTAAAAGCGTTCTTCTTATATTGAATTACAATATATGTAATAAAATTTACATTTATTTATATTTTATGTTTAATTTTCTTTTAATAACCTCAAACTGAAATTTAAGGTTAGAAATATAAAATTCGTTCCAAAATCTACAAAATTACGTATGTAATCCTCATATCACAATTTAATCTTCTGCTTAACAATGAATATTATACATTGAGTATGATAACACATTGGATTAAAAACAAATTAAATATAAATATAAAAAAATATCTTATTTATGTATGTACAGATGTTTATTCAATATCTATTATCTTTTCTTAATTTTACCAAATATAATGTTTTGTTAAGAGAACATTAGAGAACATTAAATGTTAATTTTATAAAACTTTTTATATTTTATATTTTAATATATAATCATTGACTAAAGATACGATAGACTGGACTATTAAGTGGGACTTTGTGTTTCAGAGTTTGAAGTACCGATCAAGAAAAAAGATCAGTGGTTTTTTAGCATGCTCTACACTTGACAATAACAGATTGGAAAACTATATCAAATAAAATGATACAATCTGGTTAAATAAAATAAAATTTTTTGAAATATTGTTAAATTATACATATAATTTATGTAGAAAAATAATTATATTAGAATCAAAAATTAAGTTGAAATTGTCGACGGTCGTGAACAGTCATGTATATAATAAGAAAGCGTTCATGTTCAATTCAATAAATAATTTTTGGCGCATGTAACATTATTCATATTTTCTGATTTTAATTCCTGTCACTAAGTAGTGTTGCGGTAATGATAAGATGTGACATGGTCCGGTGACCTCTAAAACATGGGACAAGAAGAAGTATTGGATACAGACGAGATATAACTTGTACTACTTATAATCAGTCAATGATGGAGCAAGAAAAATCATTGGACAAGAAACATAGAATCATGTACCTGTATTTGTACATTGGATGTCTGATCTATCCAATTAGTCAATAGTATAATCATTAATTAAAAATAGGATAGGCATGACATCATATAAAATTTCATGACACTTGTTCTAAAACATCGATTGTTGAAAAACAATAAATATTTTGTTATTTATTTTGTACCTCGTCACGGATGACTTTGTGGATTCTTTCCCCTGCGTCAGTAATATCAGATCAGAAATGAATTTCATTTCATTAAATTTGTGATGAAAAATGAAAAAAAAATTTTTACTTAAATTTTAAATTTATAAAAAATAGAAATTAAAAAATAAAAAAAACAGGAAAAAACAAAGAAAAATAAAATATTAATTAAAGGATAAGTTAAATGGAAATATAGTATTTCATGATTTATTGCAATATTCGATGCAACATCTAATCGAGATATATCGATTTGCTCAATTTCGGAAGAAGTGACTAGTTCTTCTTTCATAACCGTACTTAGAAGAAAAGAGTAAGGTACGCAGGCTACGAGTATTTATTTTCAATTTCATTATTCAATCCTTCATAAAACATATTTTTTTCTATACTTTTGCGAATATAAAAAATCCTACAACTTCAATAAGTATTTACAAATAAATTAAATTTTGTGGAAAATTTTAAGTATATATGTTTGTTATCGGTCACGTGTTTTGAGGTTAGCATACTGCTTAACCCTGTTTTATAAACATAAAGTTACTTATTAAATACTTTTGTAATATCCAATTCATTTCTTTTTAAACATCAGGCAAATCGAAAGAGAATTCTGTTAAACACAATATTAAATTGTTCGTTATTATATAGTTATTATATAGTCTTTTAGTTGCACAATTTTTGATAATTCTTAAATATGTTATAGAAATCAATGTTTTGAATAATTTTTTCCTTTCATAGTGATTTCCGGAATCTTTTAGTTTACGGGATATTCGTAAAAAAAAAGTCAATACAATGATATTCTGTCTGTACTTGCTTGCGTGTCTAGGGAAACATATCTGTTTGTATGGATTGTCGGCCGTCATAAACCTTGATTTTGCAAGGTCATATTTTGTTGTCGTATCGTTTCTATTTAAATTCTATCTATCTAAAAGAACAAAAATCTCTGAGGAACCATGGATTAAAAACCGTTCTCATAGAAAATGATGTTAAATTTTTAATAATTCTTAATGTTACTGTATTTACAATTTACTTTTCTTTTATACTCAGATGCAGTGTAAAGGACTCTGGTGTGATAACATATTACAATTCATAAATGTCTTGATATTGATGAAGACAATGTAAACACAAGAATACTGTTTCATTTTTTCTTGTCTTTTATATGATAGATTTCACACAATTTAAAAATCAAAATCGAAATCAAAATATCTTCTGAACTAGTAGTTTTCCAATTACTAAAGTATATAGATTAATACTTTTTTTACAGAGAATGTCGAGTTACATTGATTAGATTAGTGATAAAAGAAAATGTATGATTCTATTTTTAAGTTTTTTTTTTTGTAATGGATCCTCACTTATCCAGAAGTATAGAATCACGCTATGATGGTCGTGACAGATATTTCATTCCACTCTGTACAAAAGTGATACTTTGAAAGCACAACAGTAATGACTCTCAACAATCTGTTGATATATTAAAATATATATTAACGTGTTTACACAATTATATTTATTTTTTTACAAATTACTGGCTGTATATATGTTTATATATGTGTTTATTTTATTATAAACAAAAGATAAGAGTTAGGTTTGGTTTGATTTTATTCGATTGTCTGAGATGGCTTACAATCCATTAATGTATACGCTTCTACGGGCACACAAGTATAGACAAAATATCATCGTAGTGATACCAACAGTTTTTTGCGAATATCTAGTAAACTAAGAGAGCTCGACATTTTCATGAGAGGAAAAAATTGTCCAGAATGTTGATTTCCACAATCATATTTAACGATCATTAAAATCTGCGTTGAGGATGTGCAACTATATAATTAACACATTATTTACTTTTTCATTTACTAATTAACAAATTTCATTTTTTTGTTAATTTCAAACAGAATGGCGGACAGTGCTCCAGCCACGCGTGGGGGATTTCGTGGAGGGTTTGGCTCTCGTGGGGGAGGTGATCGTGGTGGCCCAAGAGGTAGAGGCCGTGGTGGCAGAGGACGAGGCCGTGGTCGGGGACGCGGCAAGGAAGACAGCAAAGAATGGGTTCCAGTGACTAAACTTGGACGTCTTGTCAGAGATGGAAAGATTGAATCTTTGGAACATATCTATCTTTTCTCTTTGCCTATTAAAGAATACGAAATTATCGATAAATTCCTTGGAGTTGAATTAAAAGACGAAGTGTTGAAAATCATGCCAGTACAGAAGCAGACTAGAGCTGGACAGCGTACTCGTTTTAAGGTAACATTACATTTATGTGAAGTTCAATGTTATATTTAAACATTTCAACATTCAATGGAGATCTCATTAATAATATTTATTTTGTAGGCTTTTGTAGCTATTGGTGACTATAAGGGTCATATTGGTCTAGGTGTGAAATGTTCCAAAGAAGTAGCCACTGCCATCCGTGGTGCTATCATTTTGGCTAAGCTTTCGGTCGTACCAGTACGACGTGGTTATTGGGGAAACAAAATCGGTGATCCTCATACTGTGCCCTGCAAAGTCACTGGCAAATGTGGATCAGTTCAAGTGCGTCTAATTCCAGCACCAAGAGGTACAGGTATTGTGTCAGCACCTGTGCCGAAGAAACTGTTGCAGATGGCTGGTATAGAGGATTGCTATACATCGGCTAGAGGATCCACGTGTACTCTTGGCAATTTCGCAAAGGCCACCTATGCAGCTATTGCTAAGACCTACGCGTATTTGACACCAGATCTCTGGCATGATCAGGCGTTAAGAAAAGCTCCATATCAAGAATTTGCAGACTATCTGTCAAAAACTCATAAAGTCGTGGGTGGACAAAGACCTGCTGAAGTTGTCTAAAGAAATAAACCTTCATGTGAAGTTTTAATTGTAATTGTAGTTTTTTTCTTCTTCCTTGAACTTATATCTTTATGTGTACTTTACGGGTAGACTGAATATTTATGCACTGTGAATTTAAAAGCAATTATTGAGTTTGATTGAAAAAAAAAAAAACTTTGGCTGAAATATAGTATCCGGGCTGCTGTAAAATTTTTTTTAGTTTGTACTTTCAGGGATATTTTGTCGATTTTAAATTTTAGAGAAATTATGAATAATAATTATTCCGATGAATAATAAATTTTTATGTTATAAGTCTTTACTCTAATTATATTAAAAAATTTGAAAAAATGTCATTATATTTTTTAAATTGTAGTTAATTTATGAAGTATTGATTTTCTTAATGAGTTTCATTTGGAAATTATTATCTCGTTGTAATCAATTGCTAGAAAAAGGCAAAATATCATGAGATAGCTCGAACATCTGTGATTCGTATGTATTATTCATAAATTTAATTATTAATTAAAGACGTATACATAATTTATTCTAATGTTAATTTTCAACTAAATTATGCATAAATTCTCAATAAATTATAAAATTAATAAAGAATAATGATATGTAAAATGGCAGAACAACAGTCAGATTTATTTGCATAACATAATAATGGTCTATAGCATTTGATTGTTTTTCTTATGTATTTTTTTATAATTATTGATTATATAAATGATCTATATTATATTTTTTCTGATACTTAAAAATTTAGTAATTAACTTTAGAATATATTTATCAAATGAATCAATATAAATTTTTAATATTAATTCTTTATTTAATATAAAAATAATCAATTTTCAAATACTGACATATAATTATTACGATTTGAAATATATATTATATATGTACTAATAGATTATATCAATATATATTATACTAATAGATTATATTAATCAAAAATTTTACTTTAGCGAAAATATGGATAACGTATCAAAATGAATCGATTTTGCTTATCTGGCCCATTTGAAAATTTTCCAGATAATCTAATACAGATTGTAAAAATTGTACATTTATCAGACCTACCTGCTTCACTTAAACGAAATATCCCAATAATAAAATATTCTATTTTAATTTCCCTTTGAAATCGTTGAATATGTTTTACTATATGTTTACTGTTTTATTATTTTGCTATATGTTATTATAGTTAACATGTATTTTTTATATACTTTCTAGAAGAATTTAAAGTTGATCTGGCGCCGGCGTTAGTGTTATCCGATGTACACTACAAGGTTGGACGGTTGGATTTCGTATATCATAGTGACTCTGAAAAGAGCCGATTGTGCATGACAGTTGAGCTAAGAAAATATTCAAATTGTCAATTTTTCATTTAGATAGAGGTCTTTTGTCGTCTGTTTACGAAGACGTGCCGCCTTCATAAAAATAGCTTCACTTATTTCTAAGTAAATAGTCTTATTCATGATTTTCTTCGGAAAATAATAGGACATTGTTTAATTAATAAAAATTTTAATAATTAAAGATCATCAAGGTAAACAAATTAAAAGTTACGCACCAACGAAAGTGTATAAGGCAACTGTTTTGCTTAGCTTTCGCAATTTGTACGACTAATAATAGATCAAAATAAACCAAGTATTTACAAACAACAGAGGAGAAATATACATATCGTATTTCAATCTCTCTGTCTCTCTCTCTCTTTCTCTTGCCTACTTTAGTAACACTAATGCTGGCGGCACGTCAATTTTAAGAGCTTGCATCTCAACTTATGTAAAAAATATACATATGTGTGTAGGTAGTGCTTTGAAAATGTCTCGATGTTAGCTATAATAATATATAGTAAAAAAATGTAGCTATAATAATATATAGTAAAAAAATGTAGGTTTTAAAAATTCAACATTCATCTTTGCGAACTTTTTCAAGGTTAATACAAGGTCAAATGATACCTGGCAAATTAAAATGGGACACCATTTGTATATAATACAAAACTTGAATTGTTTTTTCCCGTCTTCTGACTTTTTAAATCGAAATATTTTGTTCAATCTTTTTATCAGTCAAGTCACTTATTACTTGGAGATCTTTTTATGGCAGAAGATTTATCTTTTTTTTTTTCTGCATTATTACTACGAAGATATTATCGAGTACACGTATGGTATTTGCTTTAATCGTTGACAGATGATTTACCAGAAATTAATAGAATATCGTACGTCAGTAATGACATTTCCCTTTACACTAAGCTACTCACAGAAATCCAATATCGAGACTAATCGTGTGTGATCGAGCAGGTTGACCTAAATACCGCGGTATCATTTGAACCATAGATGTGGGTACACAAAAACGTAAAGAATAGTATTTCTAATACTTGGTTCTGTGCTACAACTCTCTTATACAATCTAATTCCACTGAATTGCCAAATATACACTAAAAAAAAGAAAAAAAAAAAAAAAAAAAAAAAAAAAAAAGATTAAATATTATTCTGCTATGTATTACAACAAAATTGCCAAGTAACATAATTTCTTTTAGTTTAATTCTATCGTCATATTAACTACTTAATTAAAATCAACGATGAGAATTTACCATTACTCCTTTATAAGATCGTAATCATGTTACAATTTTCGTTCGAAGAATCTGATAACGTTTAGTATTATAAATGAGTATTTCGATATAAGAATCGTTCCAACGTATGTAATGTACAGCAAGTTAATAAATTGGGGAACACTTTTACACGGGGATCATGCAAAACTACGAGAACTCGTTTATCAAACGCGTATATGTACATATACATATATACATATACATAATATATATATATTTTTTTGCTTTTTTTTTTTATTAAACACAGAATCACAGAGCAAACTGGACATATCGGAGGGGCAGGAGATGTTTACATAATCTAGTTGATTCTTTCTGGTACGACGCATAGGGCTCACCTCCACGTTTTTTTTTTTTTTTTTCTTAATAAATATATATATAAATATATATATATACATAAGTATATATATATTTGTATCGTTACTGTACAAAATATTCTTGCTGTTAAAAAATCAGCTGCGACTTTTAGTAAAAAACATACGAAATCGAAGAGATGAGCCCGTGTGGGACCGATTGCGGCCCGCTCGGTATTCGCAGAGAAGGTTTCATTAGTGGAAGTAATTAAATTTTATTTACAAATCAAGGCAATATCGTTAATTATGTTTGTTTTGTTTTTATACATACATACTCGCGTCTCTCATTCTGTTTTAGCTCTTCTTTTTTTCCCCCGTTTTGTTTACGTCACGCGATCACATTCACACCGAGATACTGTGAGTCCTAGTGTGTAATTTCATTCCGTTTGTGACGAATTATTTCATTTTCCTCTTTTTTCTTTCTTTCTTTTTTTTTTTTGTACAGTGTATATATAATAATAAGAATAATACAATAATTTATTAATCGTCCAGGGTGTAGCAGAGCAACACGATTGGAATTTCGAGTGTTTGTTTTTATTTTGCCTCCTTCTTTTTCCCTTCACCGTTCGTTTTCATTTGAATTGGTTACATATAAAAAATTTCGATTTCGCGTTCGTCACCTCGGCGAACGGTTTTTCATTCCCGTTACTTTTCTTCTTCCTCTCATTTATTTTTATTTTATTTTTAAAATTTTTGTTAACTACACTTTCATGCCTGTATTAATTCTGGCGTATACGCGCATGCACGCGAGCATACACAACACATACACACACACACACAATATTTTCTTTCGTCTCACTTTCAAAAGTATATCTTGTTATATATTTTTGCTTCTTTCATACTACAGCAAAGCTGCTGCTTATATATTTTTGTTTCTTTCATACTACAGCAAAGCTGCTGCGAAGTAACAATGTTTTTTCGGCACTGAGAAAAATATTAGCGGTTCATTATTGCTATATTGCAACACGGCCATATTGTTACCAAAATAGTCGCTGTACTTCGAAGCGAATCTAGCTGGTAACAATCATTCGGAATTAATTCAATAATAAACGTACAATGAAATAACGATACAAAATTCGCTTCTCTTTTTTAAAATTCCATCGTTTCTCTTCCATCATAGATCGCTAACGAGTAAACTTATGCTTCGTAATAATGAACATCACGTACGTAAAAGCGTAAATGGATTCGTGATTAATTTTAATAAAACTATCGGTATATAGGTATAGGCGGATTTTCAAAAATTCAATACATGTATATAGCTTGGCGAGTGATGACGTACAATTGAATTTAATAGAAAATATATCACTTGTACACTCCTTGTTTACAAATAAGAGCAACAGCTCTTGTACTTTCATATATGTATGTATATATGTTACATATATATACGTATATGTCGGATTACAACGGCAAAGAGCTATGAATTCGAAAACTCTGTTGCTCTACTGTACAAAAGTATCGCGTATTAAAAATTAATTGGTCTACCTAAATATTTATATATTTATATATATATATATTATATATATATGTATGTATATATATATATATAATACATATCTAATTACGTATCACGATCGTTTTCGCTGCGCCTTTGCACTAATAATTTTCTCAGTGCACTTTTTTCTTTTTTTTTTTTTTTTGTAATAAATCTAAATGTACTCTGTCTCCTCTTTCTCTCTCTCACGCTCTTTTTTTCTCTTTCTCTTTCACTCAATTGACAACAGACGAAAATCATCATCCTTAATGTTTTACAGTGTCTCTACAATCATGTTACAACTCCATAATAGTTATAATAATGATAATAATAATTAAAAAAAAAAAGAAAACAAAACAGAATGCTTGGAAAGATTGAAACACGACAAAAGAAACGCACGTATATTATATTGCGAAATACTCATCTAGGGCGTCCAACAGATTTGCATTCAATAAAAGCAATACACTGGATTGTTAATATTAATTAATCACGGAAGCACGACATGACGGATGCTTAAAGATGTTTAACGTATGATATTTCGTATGTTTAATGTTAGATCCGATAAGGAACGTGGGCTTCGTCGGATGTAACATTAACTTCCTTCTTTCACGTATTCCCTGGTCTTTCATCAAACCGATGAACCTTTACATTACAATGATATTTTTCATACTCGAATCTTGTTATCACAAAAATCAATAGATACGTTGCTGTGATTAAAGGAAAAAAATAATTATAATAATAAATAATAAAAAAAATAAAAAAAAGGTAGGAGACATAAAATTTAGACGTAATTTCTGCTTCTTAGGATTTTGCCACATGACTGTGTATGTGTATATATATATATATATACATATATATATATATCGCATTGTAATCGCCCGTACATCGCATCTTAAATTTACGACTGCTTTCAGACAACACATGGGAGCATTATAAAAGATGTTGTGGATAAAAACCTGACGTGTGTCGGTTCAGTTTAGTATATATAAAATTTCCTTTGTAAAGGAAATGTCTCCGTGTTTTCTGTACGTATTTTCCGAAAAGGCGCACCATAATTAGTAGAGTCATTTCAATGGGCATTATATGAATGAAAACGACTACACTTTCTGACATTACTGACACATTTTGTTACAATATATCGTGAATATTATTATTTATGCAAGTTCTTCTTTTCCTGTGTTTGAGAATTTTTAGGAGTTAATGATCATTAATTTTCGATTTTTGTTTTTCTTTTTTAACGAATTCGACGTGTTTATGAGAAGCATAAAATGTAATAAATGAAAATTAATGTAAAGATATGGTTATTACGTAATCTCTCTATTTTAAAAACTGACAACTCAAATATCCTAAGAATTTCGAGTTTAGTCAAACATAGATGGCAAGATACGTTTACTAGCAATAAGTACAAATGTTCGGTGGCATGCTGTTTTTTCTTAAATACAAGTAATACTAAACACAAACGATACTACGATACTAACAATTTAAGGTCTAGATATAAACATTCAATATTTATACACAATGTTGAGAAGTGATTTTGCGTATTTTGGATCAAATATTCTATCTTTACATAAAAATATTATTACTACGAAAATTAATTCTCAGTTTTTGTCTATTCAGATTTTTAGTAAGTTACGTCATTGTTATATCAGCTGGTTTAAAAGTATGATCTAGATGTTAATGATATTGATCCATTTAAAAGACATTCACAACATGTAACAAAAAACTAATAAAATAGTTGGAAGCCATTTAATATTATGCAATATGTATAAGACTTATTATTACATAATAATCTTATCTACATATACCCTAGCCCTTTTTTTATGAAATAGAAACGTACAATATTTACGGCTTACTTTTTTTTCAATGATAAATAACAACATAATACATATTAGGTAATAGTAAGTATTATAAAGACTAAAATTTAAAAAATTATTTCAAAACTATAAATATATAATATCGTTAAACTTTATTAAATAACAATGATTTATTCTAAATTTTATAAAATTTGTTTTAATAAAATATAATATTTTATTTTAAAATAAAAAAAAAAATTTTTAATTCGGAAGAAAGACTATACTTTGATTACCAGATTTTATGTTATGTTATGTAAAATACATTGATACTATAATAGGATGAACGTTAAGGCGTGAATAACGTATGAATCTTATAAATAAAAATTATGAAACTCTTTTTCTAAAAATTCAATAATATGAACAATATATAATATTCTCAATAACGTACGGTATTTGAAACTAAGTTAATAATCGCGATAGTATAATAAAATTTGATTTACTATTATTTATAATGACAAATATATTAACAACAATACGATTAAAATAAAAGAGCATGAATAACGATAATTTGATTGAATCTGAAAGTATAATGCTAACTGTACATTTCTTACGCACGAATTAAGCGTACAAAATTGAGAACTATCTGTAGTAAATATATTTACATATTTAACTATACATTTATTTACTTATTCAATCTTTATGAGTTGCATAATTTTTTAATTTTTTGCCGGTATATTATAAGTCAGCGGAGTATGCGTTGACCAAGAGTTAATGATGTAATGATTATTGTAATGCTTCATTGTACATATAATTGCCTGGAGGGAAAGAATGATATGCATTGACCTAATATTTCAAACACACATTGATTTTTCTAGCTTTTACAATTCGCATCCTTCCTTTTCTTTTTTCATTATTTTTTAGAATAAAGTTAAAGACATGAAAATGATAGCAAAAAAACATGATTTTTTTTCTCTGTAATTTTTACTCAATCCAATTATATATTTTTTACATCTCCAACGTTTCCTTAAATCTCAGATTTATATCTCAATCTTTTCTGTTTGTTCATAAAAAATATATTTGATCAAGCAAAATCAGACACATTCTTAATAAATCCTAATTAGAAAGAGTAAGAAAATTTCCCACTGAACTATCCTTTGTAACTATTTGGAATTATCAGCCTCATAAAATTTATATGAAAATTAATTATTTTTTTGCTCAATATTTATGATTATACAAGAAGAACTCATTAATATTTTACACATGGCATTGTTAAAAGTAATGAAAAACTACAAGAAATAAGAAATAATATACAGAGAAATATTATATGGCCCATCAAAAGACTCTATTTTTTTCTTTCAGTATTACTTAATACTACACTTTGATTTATTCTCTTATGCAAGTCATTTTGTATGTATTTTACATGAATTTAAATCACGTATAAGTTGAAATATATGTGTTTATTTGATATCAAATGCATGTTTACTTTTCACATTCATAGTTATCATTGTAATTTGCTTCTTTTCTCAAGTACATCAAACACGGGAACACGGACATTAATTCATTATGTAATCAGTATATCTGAAATCTATTCCATGTCAATGTGATTGGAAGAGTTACTTGTTATAACCAATTGAGCTATATTTAAATTTTTTATCGAACACCTTAATAATTAGATAAATACAATCAGTTCATTGTATCTGATATACTGTGAGCAGTTATATCATACTATTATTTTTTAGGAAAAAGAACTGAAGCCAACAATAAAGCAGTTGTGGTTCATGTTATGTGTTACGTATAAGAAGGATTTACAGTTTTCACCTTCTTTTTTGGATAATTCCTCAATAAGTATGTTTATATTACACCCAGTACTTAGTGGGTCATACCTGGTTGTCCACTGCTACATAACAAGCAAGCAATGTGGAATATTCCAATCAAAATTCTTCTCAGAGTGCATTGAGCGATGATAATACTGGCTATTTGGCCAGAATATAGGTAGGGCTAGGAAGCACCAAGTGAACCTGATCCTGGGCTTGGACTATTCTGTACAGCTGGAGGTACTTGATTATAAGGATGATTACTATTGCACAAGACTGTATAAATATTCTCCACATTACTGAGTTTTTCAAAAAATGGAATTAAATCTAATAGTTCTGAATCTGTCATATCATCAAACCATGATGCCACTGGTACCTAAAAATGAATTTATTTTATATCTCTACTTTCTATTTTTTTTAAATATTTTTCATTGTCAAAACTTACTGCATTATCTGGATGGAAAATGTAACTGGCAGGACTATTATCAACAATAATGATTTGCTGCAAATCCCGCCCTAGTTTATTTAAATCTTTAACATAGTTTCCTCTGTGATAAACACAAGATTCTCTAAACAGTCTTGCTCTAAACACTCCCCATCTGTCAAGCAAATCTGCTACTGGATCAGCATACTGTAAATAGCAGAAATATGGAACATTCAAACATGCTTCTTTTCCTAGATATGAAACTGATAGTGATGATAAACAACTGTTTGCATAATATACCTTAGCCAAACTTGCTGTGAACAATACACACTCGTACAGTTCACCCATTCTCTGTAAGAATTCATCCACATAAGGCCTCTTTAAAACATATACTTGATGTACTGTCCCATCAATCTCTACAGGAACAACAAAATCGGCATTGTTGATTGGTTTGAAAGAGCTATGTACTAGTGTTTCATCCAAATCAATCACCATGCACTTCTTGTGCATATCCTGATGTCTGACAGGTGGGAGAAGGAACCTTGGGGATCCAGTCCTTAGGGATGGAGAACCGTGTCCATCACCTTGTAATGAGCTTGTTTTTGAACTTTTTGAACTACTTCCACGTCCTCTACCAAGACAACAAAGTAGAGATCGAAGAAGTCCACGCCCTCTTGGCTTTTTGCCACTGGTTGGACCTGTGTTGGCCACTTCATTCTCTTGTGGTAACTGAGCTACAGTTGGAAAAAATAAATATCATCTTGTAAATACACATATGTAAATATGTATACGATACATTAAAGAAGCATATTATATAAACAAAAATTATCGAGATTATTAAAACTGTGTTATGATATTTGTACAAAAATATAAGAGAGATAAAAATGCAAAAAATGTTTTTATGATTAATGTCAAGTTTTAACATAAAATATTATTTCTTATCCAGTGTACAAAGGAATGAATTACTAGGAATTACCATTTTTAAAATAATAGAATATTTTTATAAGCATGTATTTTGACAGTTTCAAGATGTAGAAAAAGCACATTTGCTTTAATTTAACCTTTTGCACTCCTAGTTTTTCTTTAATTTTCTTATTAACAATATATTACTGTTTTAAGCATAGTTGAAGAGATTATTAATTGATAGAAATTAATTAAATAATTTTTTTTACTAATTATATTGAAAATAGAATTGAAACTTTGCTTTGAGATTTGACATTTTTGGGATTTGTAAATACTTTTTTCTGGAGAATAAGAAAACTTAAATAATCAAAGACAGATTAAATACGTATAAAAAGATAATTTTATTTAATCTTTTCTTTTTAATAGTAACATAGAAGTATGTTTTCATTTCAGTGACATTCTTCCAATCCGTCCGAAGTGAATACAGTTTTAGTACAATTTCCGAAATTATTTTTATATAAATTAACGTTGAATCGCACACGATGGAATTCGAAAGGTTAATTGCATTATTTGAATCGTCTGGCCAATATTCGAATGTCGAACAAACGGAGTCGGAGTAAGTGAATTAAAACGGCGGTAAGATATGGGATACGACACACGATGAAATAAGTTACACGCGAAACTTAGGTGAAAGAAAACGAGAGGGAGAAGGATAGAAGCACAATTTGCGAAGAAGAGAGGCGAGGCGAGGCAAAACGAGGCGAGGCCAGGCAAAAACGAGGGCGAGAGGAAAAGAGACGTCGGAAGTGAAGCATAGACGAATGGCGAGTGGGGGGAAGGGAAAGAGGAGGGGGAAGGGACAGGGGAAGAGGGTGAGAGGTGAGAAGTTAGGTGAGGTAAGGTGAGGAGCGAGGTGCAGTCCTGTAACAGGTGCAGATTCCATCCAGCATCTGGAAGAAAAAGGTGTAAAAAAAAAAAAAAAAAAAAAAAAAAAAAAAAAAAAATGAAAAAAATGTAAGACGGCGGGCCTATATTCACAACAGACACCTACCTTTCCCATTATTAAACTGGCCTAGCTCGTCATCCCGTGACACTTGGGTGATAATGGACGATGCGTCCATTTAAACATTTGTTGAGAGTCCCTGCGTGTCTGATCGTGAATTCCGTTAATGCGCGCGCGCGACAATATATATGTACATATATATATATGTATGTATATATGCATATACACACATTCATATACCACACACGCGCGCACGATCTCGAGAATGAGAGAGAGCGTATACGCGCGGTAGCACGCACACGCACCAACTCACTCACTCACTCACTCAGTCACGATGTACGAAATCTCTCCCTCCAAACGTTGTCGCGGCCACCACCGCCGCCGTCGCCGCCACCGCCGCCGCCACCACCGCCACCACCTCCACCGTCTCCTTCACTGCCGCCACTGCCGTCACCACCTTCACTATTTCCACCACCGCCGCCGCCACCTCTGCGAAGATCACCACAACTTGGCGAACGGAGACGCATAGGCGCAGGCACGGGCACGAGTACGCTCACGCACACGTACCCACACGTACCCACACGTACCCACACACGACACCAACAGATATTTACTTCACTGATTCAGTATAAGATTTATCTTGATCTCAGATATCAATAACTCGGTAATAGTCTCAGCGCGGAAACGAATTGATTCGGCAGAAGTCGGAAATTATAGTTGACACCGCGCTAAAAGAATCGATTGATTTCTTAAACGTAAACGTAACTGGGGAAAGTTAATCCAATTCTTGGTTGCCTTCATTCCAAGAGAGCACCTACCGCACGTATGCCTACGTATACGTGCATGTACGCTCTCTCTTTTACGCGCCACACCTATGTCGTTGCGCAGTTCATTACGATTCGACATTTGTCGTATGCGTTATATTCCCTCAATACGTTTTTCTGTTCAATGATGCTGTCCTTCGACGCTTCTCGCGCACATATCAGTTCTCCGACGATGGATTTCAGTAATATTGTTCAATATAACTGATTCGTGTATTTGCTGCTGTTCTGGTCAATAGCAACAATGATTCGTTGATATTTTGTAATAATCATGTTATACACTTAACGTAGACGACGTTAAACAACGTATATTTTTCACAACACTCACTGTAGCTAGAATTTTATCCGTTCAACGGAAACGTCGCGGACCTGCGCTACAGAGGTTTTTGATGTTACAGTACAGTGTTTTGCTGGTTCTTGTATTTTATGCGACCGACGCGCTTTCTTGCGACTTTCAGTCGAACTACATGTACGACCGTTGCGCAGCGTTTGAACTCAAAAATTAAAGCCATAAAAGCAAAACAAGACGCATGGTTTCGCTCTATTCCTTTTGTGGCATCATCTTGACTTTGTTAGTAATGATTCGTACCAGATAGATAAATTTTTTGGCGAAACTATAGCTCACTAGAGATTTCATTTTGTTAAACAAGCAATTTGTTGCGTTGAACTCGAATACTTTTAGATGTTGCGATTAAATTATATATATATAAAATACTTAGGGAATATATGTATATTGTATATATATATAATACTTATATTTTTTGACAATACAAATATGGGTACAAAGAAAATTTATTTGTTATAACTAACAATGATATAACTACAATTCGGATATTTTTATCTTGAAATTTTACTTGTAATATACTCTGTGTAACATAATATTTGGTCTTATATCTTACGATACAGCAGTAATGATATGGCAAGATTAAATAGCTTTAATTATTGTAAATTGAGCAGAATTTTTTTTTTTAAGAAATATGCAATATTCTTGTATATTTTATATCATGTGTACATTATATAATTATCCAAGTTCATTTGTTATAAATAATTCCTAACAATTTCTATTATATGTATATGCATTCTAATGTTCTAAAATGGAAGACCAAGGTAATTTGTGCCCAGATAATATGTTTTGTTTCAAATAAAATGTGACCATTTTATTTTTTTATGAATTTCTGTTATATATCACAAATGTATAGAATATTGACATAAAATTTTATTCCTCATTCCATTTATTATATATATATATATAATAATATATAATATATATATATAGACACACATATATATATATATAATATATATTCTCTATTAATATATTTTTTTTATTAAAATCTATCTTAATTGTAAATTATTTAGTTCATCATACATTCCATTCATTCAAACCTATAATTTTTTACATTTATGATAATATTATTGAATGACAAATTATAAAATTATGGATATAATATATAAATGTATCTCTCTCTCCCTTTCTCTCTTTTGTAAGTTTATATGCATATTAAAAAAGAAACAAATAAAAATATTAAAAAATCGCTTTTTCTGTTATATTTTGCACAGTCCGATTTTTTTTCACCGATACAATCACTTTGTTTTTCTTTTTTATTCGATGTTCACTTGGAATTGATGTTGTTCTTCCTTTTTAATTACAGCAATAGAAAATCTTCGAGGACGGATTTTTCACACTACGATTTATTATTTATTTTTCATTATCATTGTTCGTCTTGTTACTCTTCCACAAAATAAACCGGTGATGAAAATTAACCCAATCATTGTTAATGCGACAATCATGAAGTATCGTCTCGCAGGGGATTGATTTACCGTTGAATATAATTCTTGGATTGAATTTGGTGCAATTAACTGAAAATAAATAAATATGTTATAATTGATATGCAATATATAAGTATATCAAAAAATAAAGAATTTATTACCCTTGCTGAATTTCTAAACATTTCAATCCTTTTAGTTAACATCTTAAAACAATCAGGTTGTAAAGACTTATTACTGTCTTCTAATACGTTTTGTAAACACATAATATCTAGAAAAAGAAAAAGAAAGATAGTATTTTGACAGCTTGCATTTAATTTAAGTATAAAATATATTATTCATTTATTGGACGTACGTCTGCCTGCGCCTTGGGGAATATCACTACAATATTTACTAACATCAACGGCACATGCTTTTTGCAATAGTGGATCTACATTAATATCTGCTCTTGTTTGTTCTATTAAATCGGCAATTTCGAGGCGACATTCTTCTTTCATATCTCTATTACCATCATTGAATTCCGATTTCAAACATTCTTCTACAGCTCCGGGATCATTTTCATCTGCTCCACAGATTGTTTCAATCTGTTCCAAATAAGTACTATACTAGTCAATATATTTATTTTAAATAATGACTTATTTTGAAAATATTTTAACAATAATACCTCATGTGCACACATTGTAGCTAGCAATGGATTTAAATGATAATTTAAAGCTGCTTCTCTAAGTATGTTAGCCATTTGGTGTTCACATTTAAGTAAAAGTTTAGACTCTCGGAATTTAATTTTTAAACATCTTATAACTTTTCCTTCAAGTTCTTTATCGGTAGGTTCATTTAATAAAACCTAACAAAAAGATATTACACATATAATAAGACAGTAAAAAGAAAGCTGTAAGTAAAATATTTTTAAACATACCTCTTTACAATGTTTATTGATATCAGAAGAACATGCAACTTGTAACGCAGTATTAAATCTGTAGTCTGTATTTTGTTCAATCATTCTTCGAATAACAATATTTTTGCATTTATCATCAAATGTTGGTTCATCTTTATATCTTTTTAAACAATCTAATGCTTGTGAACGGTTTATATCATGGCAAAATTGTCTTATCATTACTCGACAATTATTTAATAAAACAAAATCGATTGAACTATCTTGAAATTCTTGCTTTCTTACCTTAAAAAGTTGTTTATGACACGTATCTGTTAATTTTGATTTATGTGCTGCTAAACATTCAAGAATCTGAAATAAACATGTTATATATCATATATTAATATGATTAATAATTAATATGGATATTAAAATATACATGTAAAAATGAACATGTATATATCTCAACCTGAGAATTTCCTGGTTCAAAACCATAACAATATTGTTTAATATCATTTGTACATTGTGCTTGTAAGATAGGATCAAACTGAATATTTTCCCTTTGTTGATAGAGCTGTGCTTTCAATTGTTGTCTACATTCTTTTGGTATATGATGCTGAGTATCTTTCATTATATCTTCTTGTACTCTTGTACTCAAACATTCTATTACTTCTGCTTTAGTTTTAGATCTAAATATTAAATGTTAAAATGAGTATTTTTATATTGATAAAATTCGTATTTAAAATAATATTTAAAATAATTATATTATAAGTTCTATACGCACCTTGGACACCATCTTTTAACAGAAGGTCTACAAGCTTCTTTGAATTTATATGTAAAGTGATAATTTTTTAATGATATTAATTGGAAGTGTTCCACTGCTGCTTTACATTTATAATCAGATCGTACATCTAAATCGTTTTTGTGTTCTATTAAACATTCCATCATGTCACCCTCGTCTTTACCATATTTTAATATTTCCTATTTTATAAATTTTTTTACATAAGTTATACAGTTATAATTATAAACTATATATAGATTTTACATTTATTTTACAGTTATAATTTTAAACTATATATAGATTATAAGTTAATATTTACGTTAAATTTTTTTAAATATATTATACCTCACAATGACGCTCCATGATATGTTGACAGGCAGTAGAAATTATTGGATTCAATTCAACACGTTCCGCTTGTTCTTCCGTAAAATTGCCGACTGCTAACTTGCAATTTTTGTTTAAACTGTAAATAAAACAAATAGATTATAAAAGAAATTTAGAAATTTTGATATGATTGGGTACACTTGTAATTACCGGTCCAAATTATCCTGAAGACATAATATTTCTTCTCCTTTAGCTGTTTTATCATAACAGTATGATGCTAACTCATTTAGGCAAACTTCTTCAATTTCAGGTTGTAAATCAACATTTACTGCTCTTTGCCTCATAACACGTCTAATTTCTTCAAGACATTCTGTCCTTAACTGAAATAAATAAATATAAGAATAAATTTTAATTTCCAAACAAAGTTATTATTGTAAAGTAATTATTTATGAAACTACATGAATTCTTACTGTTATATTTTTCTGAGGATGATATGCATGTCTATATAAACATGGTAAAACAAGAGGTCCTCTTTCTGGATCCATTTGTTTTCCATCATTAGCCCATGCATTTCTTGCATGACATAGACGTGTTGCATCATATTTACATCCTCTATATAATTGAGGATCTAGTTTGAAATCTCTAGCTACAAAATATTGTATTTGAACTAAAGCAGTTTCACAAGCTTCTGTCATTCTGCCAGTTCCAAGCTGTTCCATTAAACAGGATATTACTCTAGCATTACCACCATGTACCTATATTTAAATCAAATTATAGTATTATTTGCTTATTTGATAAGATGTTAGTTAAGATATTAATTTCTTACATCACAAGCTAAATCAACAACAGATTGACATTGTTCTCTTAAAACAGGATCAATTCTCCAATCTTCTCCAGCATCAGCTTCCATAATTAGTTCCTCTAGCTGTTATTACAATACAAAAAATATTTTATCTATCATTATATAATTTTTTATGTTTATAAATATACACATGAAAACATTTAATTACCGCTCTCTGACATCTACCGGATACTCTCGATTTTTTTTTTCTTGTTCTTGTATGTTCCATCAAGCAATGAATTGTTGCACCACCAACTTCTAAGCTATTACAGAATGTTGTAATTTCATTAGCACAACCGTCAACTATCTCAGGTGATAATCTATAATCTTCCATTAAAAGTTTTCTATGATCAAACATTTCATTTTGACAATCCCTATCAATTTTGCTACCATTTTTTGCTGCAGATTCCAAACAAAGAAGAATCTGTGCAAGTCTGATATTTTTATCTTCAATCACAGGTCTTCTACAATGATTAATTTTAATATCATCTTTACAAGCTTTAACGAGCCCTTTACTAACTCTGTAATCAGATGCAATTAATTTTCCTCTTCTTGTAAGCTGTTCTTGGCACATCGCTGTCATGGATCTATCTGTTTTGTGCTGCATCAAACACTTATAGACTTGACCACTGCCAGGTCTAATGTTTGGACAAAATTTAGTACGGTCTTCTTCGCAAGCTAGATACAATTGTCGATCTAAGTTGATATTTTCCGCTTGTATCTCAGACACATGAAGTATATGCCTTTTACATTGGAGTTGAAGTTCATTAACATGTTCTTGTAAACAAGCTAGTATTTGTCCCTGGGATATGTCTCTGTAAGGTTGTACTTTATCACATTTAAATCTTTTAATATCATTTTCACAATCTGAGGAAAATGGTGTGATAATTCTAAAATCACTAAATGCAATCCATTCTAATCTTTGGATATATGCAATGCATTGTGGTTTTTTGACTTTTTCTCTTTTATCAATTAAACACGACAGATATGCTCCATGCTTGTTGCCAGAAGTAGAGCAATCCAACAAATCTAGCTCTTTGCCACAGGTTCTTCTGGCTAAACGTTCTATATTTGTATTACCAGTAATGTTTAAAATATAATCCCAAATTGCTTGTCGACATTCATCATCGATATCAGACACCTCAGTTGGCTGTAAAATGAGAGAAGTAAGAAAGAATATTTGTATATTAATTATCAAAATAGTAAATATACACAGTAGTAAATATTATTATAAAATAACTATTAATTACAAGTATTAACTCAAAGTTAAAATAATACCTTAAAATTTTGAATGCACTCTAACAGCATTAATTCATCATTGTTTTTAGTTATGTCGCCACACAGACGATTTAAATTCTGTCGGCACTTGATGTTCATAGATCTTAATAAACTATCTTCGTTGTAGTTGATTAAATTGTCTCTCTTAACCCTAACAGAACTATCAACAGAATTGCTAAATAACCAACTAATTTTTGGCATATTGTCATCGTTATTCGTAGTTTCATCTTCGAAATAAGTTCTCGTCAAGTGAGCACAATTTAGCACCGATAAGTGTAAAAAAATTACAAATAAAATGCTCCTTATATTTATCTTAAGTTCCATCCTTACTAACTAAGTACACCTCTTCAATTAAAATTTACTTTCAATGAAACACATTACGCTCGTTTCAATACGTGATTTGTAAGATCTCTGTTCTTTTTTTCTCTCCTTAGTTTTTTTCTAATTCTTATTATCCACTATGCAATGTCAACGTCATGAATAATAGCACACTCGCGTATAATACCGAAATTTGCGCGGACAGATCACTCTATATAATACTCATTATCTACAATTCTACTCGACTCCCAAATAACATTGCAAAGCAGATTGAGCTGAAAAACAACGAAATTAATTTATTATATCGTACGATCGAATTATTTACATTATTTTAATTACACGCTACAGTTTAAAGAAATAAAATAACAATTTTGAGCTAGTGCCAATTCATTTTGTAGATAAAAATTTTATTGTTCCGTTGTTTCTCGACTAGACAAAGAATACAGGTATATTTAATAAAAATATATCACAATGATAAAATGATATTAATTTAAGCTTAAATTGTAATTATATCCGCGCCAATGCGTGTAAAGATAAAAGGAAATTATTAAGTTTTGCCATATTTACTATTGCTAGTGAAAATGCTCCTTACTGTCTGAGAAATATCACACAATGTTGGTAAGCCTGGTGTAATTGGCTATGTATTTCTATCTCGTCGTCTGCATTAAAGGGCAAGTGACAGCTCGAACTATATTGTTGACATTCGTATGAAAATTACGCTACCGCGTCGTACCTACGAAAACTGTAATTTTATATGCAATTAAAATCGAGACATACAAGTGGATTTTCTCTTTCTCTCTCTCTCTCTTTTTCATTGATATAAAAGCTTTAATCAAACGATACTGGTGAATTGTGAATACATAGGAGGAAAACTTCGAATTAAATGATAATCGGTGTTTGAGAAGTATAATTACACAGAGCTAATAGATTTGAAACGTTCAACAATTACGATTAAACGTGGTGTCTATAAACCTTTTCGGCTGTTCCATATTGATTAGTATCGTTTAGCAGTTCTAACTTCTAACAATGACTGCTTATTGGAAAACTCTGTTCAAGCACCGCCGTAAACGTTGTTCCCAGTAGTATGTTCCCGACAGTGAACGATAAAGTGCGTGCGTAAAAGTGAATCAATCCGTATGGTATTACGCGCAGTTAGAACGGCGTCGTTTTCTTAAAAAAGATTATTAATTTCTTTGATCGATAATTGATATTTTCAATGATCTTGATGCATGTTAACCAGATTCGTACGAAAAGTATGTTTCAATCTAATCCTGCAAAAAGTTATAAAAACTTGCTTATTTCTTAAATAAGCGGTTTCAAATAACTGGCTCGTTTCTAAACACTGTTGTTTTAATTCCGTGTTTGTATCGTGGTTTTAACAGCTTTCACCTCGCATCATATTAATATTTCATTAGTCAAATCTTACATACTCGCGCAAAATTACGATAAGAATAAATTAAAAGTATTTCGTTCAGTCAATAACACTGTTGTTCACGATCGTTTAGAAATCAAAAGTAGCGCGCAGAAAATTCGCAACACAGTGTAACCTATGTACAACGTAAAAGGTAATATTTCGAGCAACGATAAAAAAAATTGCTTCTATGTAATTTCTCGCGTTTGTCTTTCTTATTCATAAACAATATTATCGACAATATTTCTTGAATTGTCTCTAACTAATTTTATCATTGTAAGAAGGAACCGAAACCGCGCGTTTTATTTCAGCTTTATAATTTGTGCGTAAATTGAATAACGTCACGCGTAACGTTACTATCCCTGACGTTTTGGGTCTATTTATAGTATTGCCGTTAAAGGTGTCCATGGTGTTTTTTTGCATTGAATTTCACGCCCTTCTCACGAAATTGGGAAATGAGATCTTCGACGATTATTCGTGCGAGTAACAATTATCGCTTGGATCGACTTGGTTGATCCGTTGATCTGTTCGATGTTTCATTGAAGATTCGAGGTCCAGTGAAGGAATCGATTTGGTGGCTGTATGCGGTTAACGGAAATAACACGATCGATTCGAAGTGAAATTGTAAAAAAGTAGTGAAACGGGCAAAAAAAAGACGGTTTCGGAATGACCTGTGGCGGTGGCAACATCTCGTTAGAAATATCGGGCGGGGAGGAGGAGGCATGGAAGCTGAAGCTGGTCGGCAGTCTCACCATCACCAGGGGCTGCAGCTTACCCTGCCATCCCCGGGAATCCCCGGATTAGATGTCGTCAGAGCCTTGCATCAGGTTTGAGCCATAAATTTCATTCATCGCAACAATTAAACTTTTATTCATCTCTATTTCACTTTACTCCTCTCTGTATCGGCGGTGAGATAATTTTGCGGAAGAATTCTATCTCTTTTATACGTAACATCTTTTACATTTTTGCAAAACAATGTTTACAAAATAAATTCCAAATTTGCATACTTGGGTAAAAAGGTATAATATTTTTGTATGGTGCTCTTATTTGAGATTTCATCAAATATTGTTAGCATATGCATGGGCATCAAAAGCCAGTTTTATGTATCGCTATATAATGTTATATATGTCGCTATATAATGTTAAAAAATCTTAAAGATCTTGAAGAAATTGCTTTTGCGACGTATGTGTGTCAGTGTGTCTGAGTTACGCGCATGCGAGCACGTACTTGTGTATGTGATTGGTTAAATGACATGATGCTTGCTAAAAGGAAGCAAGTGACTTTATACATCCTTACCTGAACCATCGATTTTATATTCACCAATACTATTCATTCTCGTTCGATCTCTTTACCTCCGTGATCCCTTGACCTTGGGTAGTACATGATGTTGGGTTTCCTGTGTAATTTCAAGGTCCATCAGATTATAGGACACAATAAATAAATTCATAATACGATATCAAGAGTTTTATCGCAGTGGAATTATATTTTGTTATTACGATTACAGAATTATAGTTATTCAATTTAACATTAACAGTAAATGTACAATGTTGCAATGTAAAATTTTGATCCACGATGATATCCAGGAAAAGTCAGTGCTATTTTTAAGCTTCAATCAGTGGAAAATCATGTTGCACTCATTAAATTACTTTGTACTGAATTATATTAAACTACTACAAGATGACTGATTGAAATCATTCCAATTTATGCTAAGTACTGTAACACAAATTTAAAATTTCGATTTTCGATCCATCAAGTGTCTAGAGATTCCATCCGTCGTAGAAAGCATGCGATTTGTCTCGGAGCAGCATTATTAATTTCGTAATCATAGATATTATTATTCATTCACAGATTTGCGATATGAATTTCCGACTACTGATTGATTTTCTGAATATTCATCTTGAAGACTAATCATGAAATCATGAATTTATTCGTGCAGTCGTTGCGTAAACAAATTAAACAAGCATTGATTATTCGGCAATTTCAATAGTGCACAGTACAGTACAGTAATAATATATGAGTGTTTTCATCAAGATCTAATCATTAAATATATACGGTGTGTTAAGTCGAAAGTATAATCGGTAATTGTGTGTGCAATTTTCTTTCATTCACTCATCGTCTCGATTCATTTCTAATAATGCCTCGATTCAACAACGATTCATAATTGTGGCTGTTTTGCGTACGTCCCAATTGAAACCTACTGTTATCGTTCACGATAATGATAGACATACAGCGTTTGTTAAGGATGAACAATGTTACCTAACTAAATTAATTTGCCTGACTAACTCAATTGTGGAAAGTTAATTTTATTTAACAATACCCTTCGTCTTTACAAAGTCACATATTCCTATATGAAACGAAAAGCATCGATGTTTAAAAAGTTTTTATTCAGAAGTACTTCCCGAGATTATTGTTCGGCATTTATTTAGAAATATATTTATTTTAAGCTGAGAAGAGGTCTGCATTACGTAATTTTTCTTCGTTACAGGTTACTTTTAGGTCATTTCCAATTGAATCGCATTTTTCTATCGTTAAAACGTGCTTTTTAATTTCAGTCTTTAAATTCTCAAACCATTAGGTCTTTCTTTTTTTGCGTAAAAAATTCGAGCCTCGCAGCAGAGTTAACCTTGCTTTCAAACATTTCGAAATTTATTCTTTTATATCGTGCATCATTTATATCTCATGACAAAATATTAAAATTATTAAAATGTATTATTGTGATAAAATTTTATATTTTATCATAGGAAGTCATTTTATTGATCCTTTCTGGAAGAAGTATTAATATCTGACCGATGGCATATAATGATGGAAGTGATTTTTCAATGTGATCCTTTCAGACTGTGATATCGCTGCGCTCCGCGCTGGATTCCTCGCGGGAAGAACTCCGCCGTTTTAAGGAGAGCGTCGGTGATTTTTCTGGCGAGAGCTACGTTGATGTCGTCGAGAGGCTCGCGCTTGAGAATCACGTCCTTAGGCAAAAGATCCTAAGCAGGAACAGTGAGTTTTCTAGTGATGCTGCTACAAGCCCGCCGCCCCAGGCCCGTCTTTTTTCACTCGCAGTAGAGGACATCAAAGAGTGAGTCTTGAAATGCGTCTCTGCGAACAATTAACAGTTCGTTTGCGATTTGGTTCTTTAGTTCTTTGTCACGCGTGATCATCCCGTTCTATTTTCGCGTTTCATGATTATCGTGACCATCTGGTAGACAGGACGAAGCTCGTTTTATTGATTTTATTTATGAGTAGCGTCAACGTAGGAAAACGGTGTTTCAATTGCATTAATATTAAAACGTTGACTCCCACGCGAGTTTTACGTACCTCATCTTGAAGTACAGATTGAAGATTGAAATAAAATTTTACAAGCTTTTATAAGTCTCACAATTTTGTTATGTAAATTAGTAATTGTTATTTTTTATTTTACTACATTTATTTAATTAAACGTTCGTACTTGAAATTCCTTGATCCACGGTTTGTTTTGATTATATTAAAAATCGTGGTAGTCAATGTGTCAGCGTAATACAAAAACGATTTTTCACTTATTCATTACTTGTTTTACACTTTAGAAGTTAAAATTCATGTGGACAATGAATGATTGAGCACCGAATGAATATTTATAGTAATGTGTTTTTAACGAGTGTTGTGTGCAGATTTTCTGAAGAAGACCATTATACAACGTCAACTATAAAAGTCATTCTTAAATAAGCAGAAGAGTCTTGCGTGAATCTTTGATGAGTCGAAAGAACCATATAGGATTTCTGAGAGCTGAATTTATCATCAAATAATATCATTAAATATGATTTTTATTATTTGATACTTTGTGAACAAAGTCTGTCTATGTGTTTATTGTTCTTTAACCATTGAACAACGTTGCTCTTTTAAGAATTATTCTGTTCTGAATCATTAAAGATAGTTGTTACTTTAATTTTACATTTTACGAACAAAGTTTGCCCAACATTGTTCCTTTATCATTAAATAATAGAACAACAGAATAAAATTATTAAATATAGCCTTTATTATTTCGTACTTAATAAACAAAGTCTGCCTAACATTTCCACAATGTTTTATTTTATTTCACTTATCTTCGATTCTCGTATGTTACTTTAAAAAGCTCGCCGCACATGATCATATTTTTCCCATTTTTATAAACAAGTATATATACAAAGTAGCATGAGTAGGTCAAAGATCTATAGGTTAATATCCAGAATAATAATTGAAGGTATTTGCGTAATTCGGTAGTTAGCAGCGTGGATCGCTAAACGAAGTTTCTTCGGTGGCGTTAGCGTTAATTAAAAGGAACGCGTTTCGTTCCCGATGAACCTATTAATAACCACGTGTAGCGTGCATACGCAGTTGGTTTCTCGCTGTCATTCTCACCCTGTGAACGGTATCAGTCTGTCCGAGCAAGCAGGCGTACTCATGGACGCATCCAGGGACAAAGTCGACACGGAGGACATGGCAGAGCCATCCAAGTCGGTTATCGGGGCTCGTGCCGATAGCAACGCCAGCGGTAACGACGAAAGTCCCGACTTGCAGTCTGACACGGTCGAGAAAGTACCTAAGGGTCATGCGGGATCCTCGTCGAAGCCGGAGTCCAGGAATCAGAAGTCGAAGTGCACGACGCCGAGAGACGTGACTGCTGTTAAACCTCAGGTTGGATTGTCTGGTGTCAGTTCGGACGATACGGTGAAAAGTGGAACTTCGATGGAGGTTGCTTCTGCCTTGACAAATAGACAATCGAAAGACGTCGAGGTGGAAGACAAGAACGAGGTTCAAACCGATCATTTGGAAGTACCGGAGAAGGATCTCGAGGATCTAAGCTTGAAATCCGACGGCGATAACTCGGTATTCAGCGATAATCCCGATGCTCAAGTGTCGCAGCAGCATCAACGCCAGAACCAGCCGGCCGATCAGCCAAAGCCGAACGATCAGTCCGAGAACGAGTCTGAAGAGCTCGATGACATCGAGCTGATATTCACGACGGACGAAACTTGTCGTGATCTTGGTCTTCAGGAGGATCTCGTTTCCATAACCGAAACCGAAACCTGGCAGCAACCTGCGTCTACCGGTCAACCGGCGTTGCTGAAGTACACCAAATCAGCGGAAGGTGAATCGTTAGTTTGCAATGGCGAGAAGACCAGCTCTGTTGACGAGGCGGTTTCCTCGCAGAGTTCGAGCATCGATCGCGAGGAAAGCGTGGACAGGTTCGACGAAAGTTCCAGCACCAGGTTGAACAAAATATGGTCTCAGTGTTCGGTGTTGGTCGAGACGGACATCAGCAAGTGCGGGGTTGTCGAGGAACCTGAACATCCTACCAGACACGCGGTCAGAAGGAACACTTTAGCTGCACCACCAACCGCATACAGGTAACTGACTTTTCTTGCTGTTGTGTCATGGTGAATTTCAGACAAACTCAAAAGTTTTTCTCGAAAGTATATGTTGCAATAGTTCAGATACAAATTTCGTTTGTTTCTAAGTTGTCTATTTAAATAGATAGATAGATTTATTTATTGATTTCTTATTTGATTACAAAGTTCTGCTCCTTCTCATCCTCCATACATACTGCTTCTACATACCTTCTACTTAAACCTAATTGCTAATAATACTTAACTAAGCTACTTATGACATAATAATTTTGTTCCTCATAACATAGAATAGAACATAAACAAAAGAAAAAACCATATAAAACAACTTATGATATATATGATAACATGAAATGTTCTTGTATATAAAAATAGTTCTTTATCTTTCTTTAAGTCTGTCTATTTATTTGCAGAATCTTTGCATGTGACAAATTGAGACACACGGAGAGAAAATAAGTGAAAACATTTTATTTTAGCTGTCAAGTATCGACCAATTAACTAAAATGCTTCCAATAATATCTATTCGTTTTATTGATGTAATATGTTGGAACTGAAAAATTTACCAAATATATAAATGGATAATATCATTCTTAAAAGAGAAAAAAGAAAAGCTGACTGATTCGCGTGAATGGGTCTATAAAACAGAATTTTTTTATCTCATACGGCACTTTAGTGTGTACTTGATGAAAGACTCTCACGTTAATATACATATATATTGTATATATGTGTATGCATGTATTCGTTAAAAGTACTTTAATTAGCTGCTCAGTACTTAACAGCTGTAAAACGTTTTCACTTACTACTGTCTCTTTTTTTTCGCGTATTTCAATTTGCCACGTACCAAGGTTTGTAATAAATGATATGGGCACATATACAGAATGACGCTTTAATTATGTTTCCTGTTCATTAGTGAACACGCGTAGTCATGTAATTTAATTGTGTTATTGAAGGCATTCATTATTTTCGCCATTTACTTAATTTTTATTACATTAAAATTTCAATCGCATCATTATTGAAATTACTTCGTTAAGCAAATTTTTTTTTATTTATGCAAATTCGCGGCACTTGTTTTACATCTCTTTGATTAAATATTTTTAACGATTTTCAAATTTATTTTCTAAACTTATGTTTGATTATTTAGGGTTCGTTAAACAGGACTCGAGCAAAGAAAGTGTTGTATCAGAAATTGGCTTTGATTTTGATACAATTATAGGCTGAAAATTAGATCAGAAGCCACAGTTGGTTCTCTAATGGTATTCAGTGCGTCGGTGATAAGCTAATAGTTCAAAATTGCATGTAATTCGATTCGAAATTTTGTTACAGTAAATTTAGCGCATTATTTCACAACACGCTACCAAAGTCACTTCAAGATGTTGAACAAATTTTATCGTCTACATTTGCACGTTTTATACAATTTAATTAAATCTACATTCAAGGATGTAATTTATTATAACAAATCATGTATACAAAACGTTAGAAAAGTTAGAAATGTTACTTATTCTGCTCTTCTTACTTAAAATTTCCTATCTTCCATTTAAAGATTGAAGTTTTATTACTTTTTTATTTTCTTCATTTTTGTTTCTTTCTTTTTTTTCATTCAACTTCAAAAAATATTTGATTATCATATGACAACCTCTATAATATTTGCAGGATAAAAAAAACGTAGAGAACTTTAAATATCTCAATATATTTAGGAAAATGATAAAACATTTTTATCGAAAAGATTGATAGCACATGTTAATAAAAAAAGAAGTAGTATTACTGTTTTGTTGTTTGATTTTTTGAAGAATTAGGTATATTATGCATAAATACTTGGACATTTCTAAATAATTGCAATATCAAATGAATCTCTTTAATTGTAATATATACGGATAATAAATATCGATAGCTTTGCAGAGATTTTAAGTCTGCAAAGCTGTCAATGTCATTTTATGTCCGTTGAAAAAATTTATACAGATTTTATGAAAAATCAGCTATTATGAAACTTGAAAACGCAAAAAATTAATAACAGAAGAATTACGTCGACACATAACAAAAATATCGAGCTTTTAACCATTTGCGCTGGCAACTGATTGCGGACCACAACGAGTGACCAAATACCGTATATATAATAATTCGTCGCTTTCTTTTTGAACTCGTCGGTATGACATCATTGGATAGGAATTATTGAGAAGTAGTAAATTTATTATTTGTTTTGCCTATTTTGTTTTACTTAAATATAATTATACTTAAAATATAGTTATACCTAAAACTGAGAAAATGTTACGATTTGGAACTCGACGTGCGTGGCACGTCATTCCAGCGCAAGAGGGTAACAGGATTGCATTAGATGATTAATTATTTATGCACAGTAGTTGAAATGCAGAGTGTGTTAAGAGGATTTACATATAATTTTCTTCTTTTCAGACCAATCATTCACCGCGAAGCTTTAGCGGGTAGCCGACGAAAGAGTTCGGCCCCGTTGAGACCGGTGATGGACAGAATTAGCGGAGCAAGACGAGAGTCTGGTGCCCAAACAGACATTTCCGCGCTTCCAGCTCACTGGCGTTCTGAGAGCTACCTCGCCCACAAAGTAGCTCACACGTTTACCACGTTACCCAGTAAATTTGCTCTGCCGACCGGGGTGCCTGGAAGACTTCGATTGTCCGATAAAACTCGAGAAGCAAGAAGAGTAATGTTGTCGGACATCAGTTTCACTAGCATGGTGCCAGAACTGTCCAGAAGCGCTGATCATCTCTGTCACGATCCACATGCACAGGTAGGATTCGAATTGGGATCAGAATCTTCGTGATTTGTAGAATAAAAATTTAATATTACAAGGACAGATCTTAGTTTGTGGTTTGAAAGGTAAAATAAATTCATTATCTTTGGAGAGTTTGTGATGTGTGAATTTTGATTTTGACAGTGTATAAATCTCTATGGAAATCATTGGTTCAGCGTCGTATGATACTTGAGATTTTGAAATACCGAACATTTCGAACATATCGAAAAAAAAATGAAAAAAATTGTTCGACGATTTTTACAATTGGTAATTTTTTTGTTCGGCACTCTTACACTTGATGAAAAATTATCGACATTTTAAATTGCTTGTGAGAGAATATAACTTTGTAAAAAAAAAAATTGTAGAATTCTACGAGGCTTATTTTGAAGCATAAAGTGTTTACTTTTACAATATTGACTTCTTTTCTTTCAAAGATGTTTCGCACATCGTTTTAAAATGGGGTAAGTGGAAATACTTTTTCTCTCGAAAATTTTCTCCAAATTCAATCATCTTTATAAACACAAAAAATTTTTTCGCAACTAACCATTGTCCAGAGCATTCAAGTTTGTCCTTTACAACGATTGTATAATCTTTTTGTTACAAAGTTATAAACTTCCAAGTCGATAATTTTTTCACCAAGTATACGAATACTTTCTACATCTATTGTAGAAATAAATTGAAAACACGATTTTACGAAAGTCTGTATAGAATTACCATATTTACAACTCATGTAAACCTATTCTGATCATAATTAATAATAAATAATAATAAGAATACATTTTATACAGTTTAATGTGCACATGGTAATTATATAATAGATTTCATGATTTTTCTGTTTTAATTTGTTTTCTAATAAACAAATATAAAAAAATATCAGTATCTCTACACTCATTGTACGTATGGAAACGAATGATACATATTGTATCAACTTAAAAATTAATTAATAGTACAATAAAGTTAACTTAAAAACAGTTAGTAAAATAAAAAAAAGTTAGTTTAAAAATTAAAACTATAGCATCACTAGTCTGTAAGTTGAATTATAATAGATTTTTATGATACAAATCAGATTTTTCTAACTACTAAGTACTATACTTTCTAAGTACTATAAAAGTACAGAACAGACAGTAATAAAACGGTAATAAAACAAAGGATAGTAAATGCAAATTACATCACTCTAGTATTTTATGAGCTCGAAGACAGAATATTATTTATTACCAATCGTAGTATCATAACTTTTCTTCATTTGTTGTTATAGAATGTTAAAGTAATTCCATTATTGTTAGATCTTAATCGATATCTTAGTTTTTATAATAAATATTTTGCACGCTAATGTAGTTATACAATTTTGTACGTATGTTTATTTAAATGTTTGTCTGATAGTTATTATATTTTAAGATGTTATATTATATATTTGTTATATTTGATGGCATTACATTACAATGAATATTCTGTATACTTAGCTGATGATGGGCAATAAAAATTTTATTGGTATTTAATAATTTTTTATTTATCGTAAAAACTCTCTCAGTGAATGTGATTCGAAGTATCCTAAGTTTTAAATTAATCACTAAAATGAAATTATTGCACACTTGTTTTGGAGAATCCAAGTAATAATATTAAAGTAATGTGTTTTTTTTAATAAAGCAGTTTCATGATGGAAAACCAACTATAATTAAAGCAAATTCACTTGTGTACACAAAAATTCTTATACAAATGTATATCGTTATCAATGTAATAGACTATTCCTAAAATGGTGTAATATTATTTTATTTATATATATATAAAATAGTACATATATATATATATAAAATAGTGTTTATATATATATATATATATATATATATATAAGTCTATCTCCTTTACACACAATTATTACAATTCATTATTCGAAAAAATTAAGTTTAATTTTGTAAAATTATTTTTAATTTTTTTCTCTTTAATCTTTAATTTCCCTCGATGTATTTTGTTGCTATTATGTAACAGAATTAAGGTTGAAATATCTCCTAAACTAATTATTTTTCAATGTAAATAGATTAATACTTTTTTATAGAGAATGTCGAGCTGCATCGATTAATAAATCAAAAATATATGATTTCGTTCAAAAAAAACCAAGTTGTAACATAAGACGTATAACTATCAGACAAACATTTAAATAAACATACAAACCTTGAGATGTCTCACAGATCTAGTGGTCACCATAAGATGTCTTTATCGAAACAGAACAAGTTTTACTTCAAGCACTTTTTCAAATGATAAATAATTGCGGAGATAATTGCACGTAAAGGTTCAAATGAGATGTATGTGTAGTTTGTACAGAAATGATTTACATTGAGCATGGAAGAAGGTCGAACAAATGAAGCTAATGCAAATTCACTTTGACGTTCGTTTCAATTTCATCTCTTCGTCAACTTGGATGACTAATTGCTTGCATTATCTTGTTTTATTATTATACTACCGGTCTGAACGTTTATGCGTGGGATCGATACCAATGATGTTGTTCCTGTATTGTAGAATTTTTTTTTTTTTGCTTCAAGGCTTCTTTTTGCTGGAAGGACTCTACGATCTCAAATGTCTTATCGAAATACGAATAACAGATTCTTCGTTCATTCTTCTAGAATTTTTTTGCATTATTCGAATCGATTTTGTTCTGCAATGTTCTTTTTAAAAATGGGAGATGGATTGCTTATAAATATTCATTGAAATACAAATATCTCATCAGTAACGAAATTTATTCTTTCATTGATGAAATAATTATTAATAAGTTTCGAAATAAAACAGAGTCAGTGTACGCAATTATTTTTCTTTATTGTTTCACAACTTCTCGTACTTTCAATTCTGTATTTCTAAAAACTGATTTATTCTGTTATTTCGTCATTTCGTTTTCAATTGAATTTCAAAAACTTATTCGATCAATGTTTCATTCATTAAAACCGATAAACAAAATTAATTTTACCAGTTAGAATCGTAATGTTTTAAATTATTTTGATGATTTTAATGATTCATATCGTGCATTTTGTTTAGACCTGTTTCAGTTCTCGCGGTTGTGGCCTTCGAACACCGGACGTGCACCGTCGCGAATCACTCGGCTCTCCGGCAGGATTTTGGCCTCGTTGCAACCCCAGCACAGGACTTCCGAGTCCTTGCGATTGTCGTCTCTCCACTGACCTTTACTCCTCTCGATATCGTGGTTCTTTGTCTTCGATCCCGTCGCCTGGATTGGAGGTTGTCGGTGGTCCACCACGAAGACACTCGTGGAGAGCAACTGCAGCGTCCTTCGATACTTGGAGAGTTCCGGTGGCAACTTCTACGCCCAGACCAACCTGGTCTATGCCTTCTTCTCCTACACACGTGCATCCTCCTGCGACATCCTCGAAAACTTCTAAAAGCGTTCCAAAGAGAACACGATCGAAGGTCACTTTCCAAGGTATGCTTTCTCATCATATACACTCTTTTATTTCAAAATTATTGCCTACACATTTATTTATTTATTTATTACAATGAAATTGCGCAATCTCTGCAAAATATTTCCAAAGAATTTATGCTCTAAATATAAATTCTTATATATAACATATTTGTAACTATATATGTACATTTCAATAGTGCAATCTCTGCAAAATATATACAAGGAATTTGTGCTCCAAATATAAATTCTTATATATAACATATTTGTAACTATATATGTACATTTCAATAGTGCAATCTCTGCAAAATATATACAAAGAATTCGTGCCTCAAATATAGATTCTTAATTACATTTGTAATAAAAAATAATTATTCTCAAAAATCTGTGCTGTAAGGAAAAATGTTGCATGTCAGAATTTCAAAATATTTACTTTTATGCATTAATTGAATAGTAGAGTATGGGATTTATGACAAAAAATTCATGAAAACAAATTTTACAAGTTGAAATAATATTATATAATTTAACTGAAATCTAATAAGGAGTTGGTATTATGAACTTTAAATCATAATATTTCGAAAATGAAAGCATGTGGCGTTTTCCTGTACAACCACTTAACTTAAATAACTTAACAGTCACAAAGATTTGTTCTACAATCTTTTTATATATTATACTATATTTTAATTTCGGAATTTTTTTAAAGAATGTATTCTAAATGCAGATTTTGAATTAGAAATGAATTTTACTATTTCGTTAAGATACTTATTTTCAAAAATAATCCTTCATTTATGCATTGATTCTTATATTTATTTGGTATAATTTAACCGTGATGTTTGTAGTAATAGGAAAAAAATATAGCTGGAAGAATACGTAGATTTGTTTATGCGTGTAATTTAAATAACATTCGAAGAATCAATTTTAACGAAAATAATCCGTTGCAAACGGATGTATAGTTTCCTGGTAATTCGTAGAAGCCGGTTACAGTTAATTGAATCTCAGGCTTAGCCATTTTAAATTAACCTTCCACCGCACTCAGCAACCTTGCAATCGAATGGAGCTGTACCGCAGTATTGTTGGTTCGAGTTTCAGTGCAACATTATAAGATATCAAGTAACTTGATCGTAACTAATCTGTTGGAGGATCGTAACTAAAATATGTGTATTTTAATATTTTTTTAAATGTTTTCTATCTATTTCTCCAACTTCCTGTTTTTGTAAACTGATCACAAATGACGCCCTAATTACTAAGTCATAAAGGCAACAGATTTCATGTATATTCCAACAGCAAAATTTCTTAAGCTTTTCAGAGATTTTAGTATTTTCGTAAAGCAGATTTCGATATCATAAAGGCAACAAGTTGTTTTGTACATTATTCATATTTCAAGAACAAAATTTCTTAATCTTTTCAGAGATCTTCTAGTATTTTTTGTAATTTTTTACGTAAATTTGAGGTGAATTTTGTTGAAAACAAATGAATTTATTGTTTATAAGAGAAGATGTACAATTCAGAAAATTATGAAACTTTGGAGATAGGTAGAACATATGTGGGTACTAGTAAATATGTTAGTTAATCTCTTGTTAGCTAATTTATAAAACCATCGATCCTAATTTATAACTTACGTTTCTTTTATTCATTCAAGTTGAATTGAAAGATAAACAAAGTCTATCTCTTTGTAGAAAGTCAACCAAGGTGAAAGTATTTGCATACTCAATGAAAAATTGTCTATATTTTAAACTGTTATAACTTCATAAAAAAAAGTCGCATAACTATATCAAGGTGGTCTTATTTCAAAGTGTGACAATAAGAAGAGTTTATTAGCGTTTCGAAAAATTTCGTTGAGGTAAAGAGAGTTGAATACAATAAATATAAATATAACAACCGAAAGGAATAAATTGATGTAATAATATACGCGTGTTTACTGCGTAAAACCTATAATTTGATCGAGCTATAATTTGTCCATTTACATAATTCTTTCATTATTTCTCCTCGAATATATTTCATTCCATTTCATTTAAGAATATTTATAATACTGCTCGATGTAGTTTGACATTTTTCATAAAAAGAAACTATTAACCTACATATGTTGAAAAAATGATTATTAGTTTAGTAAAGATATTTTATTAATGGAAAGGTGTAAATCAAATCTAGCCAACTTGCTCTAGCCAAATTCTTCGTTTCACGCGCAAAATAATTTTTACTGTCCGTTCAACGTATAATTGCATTCATATATAATTTAATATAAATTACAAATTAAAAATCTACGAAAAATTTCAGTTGGCCAAACGTGTATTGTAAACAATGTTTCCCTACGTACGTCTTGTTCGAACGTTCTCATCTATTCGCTCTGGCTATTTGCTTGTAGAATGCCCAATGACGCGAGGCAGTTTGCCAAATCTGCGTTCGGATTTGGTGACCGGCGATAACAGCGGCGATTCAACCGAGTCGTTGATTGACGAGGCGGAGGATTATTTACGACGAAGCATCGACTCCATGCTGACAATCTCCAGTAGCGGCGTCAATTCCGATTATTGGAATCGACAGACAACCAGGCGGAGACGTGCGCGACGATACTCCGAGCCTGATCTAATCCGTGACTGGCATCCCCCGCAGGATGCCAGACCGTACCTGCCAAAGGTAAACTTCACCAATATCCGGTCTTTGGCAACAATTGGCACGATAATGTGCTGTTTAGAGTAACTGAAAGCACTGTTGAGCACGGTTAGCATTAAAACCACCGACGATCGAAGCATAAAATTCCCATCAGAGACATTAAAATAAAACAAGTAGAAAAGCTTCACAATACAATGAAAAAGGACACAGGCTTATATAGTTTATATAAATCTCTCACGTTGTTTTATATCTATAAAATTTCTAATAAAAATTATAAATTGATCATTTTAATTACTTTGATAGTTTTAGTGTTAAATAGATATATTATTAGTGAAAATTCGTAACTTGTAAGATACAAATTTATTTATTAGTATTAATAAATTCTCTTGTATTATAGTAACACATTGGATAATGGAACAAATCAAGTTTCTTTTTTTTTTTTTTTTTGAACAAAAGTAAATTTGTTTTATTTCATTTTATTACGTACAAACGAAGTTTTAAAATTTGTTTTTATTTACAAGTGAAGTTACTTGTCAATCTATGCAAAATTGTAAAATTATGAAAAAGACGTTTACATCTCGCAGCTTGTCGATAGCTATTGTACAAGAAATTGCCAAATAATTAAAGTAAAAAAAATATTTTCATTTGCTTAGAGAAAGTTCCTCTTTCAATAATTATTGAGATGAACGATAAATATCAACGATTTCTTTTTTAAACAACTTTTAACAATTATTGCTTTTTAAAATAAGATTTATATCTCTTAATGAGATTACTTTAGAAAGAGCGATCTTTAGTTTATGATCTATGGTTCTTGTTTCGACAGATACCAAGGGATCTCAAGCTGGATCATCTTGTGAAGGTTATATCGCCCGAGGGGAAAGTTCTTCAAGGACGAGTCAGATACGTGGGACCTGTACCAGGTCGAGAGGAAACTCACGTAGGCGTGGAGTTACCCTATTCGAATGGTTCCTCCGATGGCACTTTTCATGGTAGAAGATTCTTCGATTGGTGAGTTATCATATATATTTTATTATCACCTGTACTTGTTAGAAATTATTTTTTGTATTTTATATACAACTTTAAAAATTTTTGTTAGTATTTATATATGTATATAATATACCGTGTATAAATTATATGTATATAATTACATCGCATATAAATGACTGAATATTTAGTACAGTCAGCCAGCTAATTGTTATTATTTACTCATTCTTTTTATCAATATCTATTAATTGCATTCATTGTTAAGATTAAATTAAAGAGAATTCATTTGAATTGTATTCTACATTCCAATAATTTACAAGTCCAAATACTTGTACACTACTATGTATTATTTTATTATCACTCGCAATTACTACAAGTTATTTTCTGTGTTTATAAATTATTTATCGTATTTTAATTTATCACATTTCATTATAATACAATTGTTTATAAATTATTTTTTTACCATTTCATTACCAACCTTCGAAGTTTTCGTTAGCATCTCCGTGTTTGAACGCGGTTCATCGTATATTTCCATGAGACGAACGATTATGCATATCGTAACGTATTACAGTTACGTTCGTGCGTTGAGTCAGAGAATTCTATGAAATAGAACCTTCGTTGCTTCACTGAAACAATAACGAGGCCTTTTATCGAACGAACATTGGTCGCGTTTTCGCAGTTAGCAGTTCCCATTAACACAACGCCACAATCGCAACTCTGCATTGTTACCGCAGTGAAAATAGTGTTAACGAAACGGTTGGGAAACGCGACATGGATATCGGATTATGAGAGTAAATTGATCTTAAGCGAGAGATTTAGATACGAAGTACGTTACTTCAAAGAACAGTTATCCCATGTGCCATTAGTTTGAGACATAAAAGTCGGTAATATTCCTCGTTCTGATTGGCCAAATGAATTTCATGAGATTGAAATCACTTTTTGCATCTATTTCACATACATATATACTGTTCTCCTCGATTAAAATCTACTATCGAAATATTCCTAGTTTCTAGTATTTCTGATTACTTCGATTTTCTTTTCTCTCTGTTCCTTCCGTTTCGAGATGATTGGTGAAATCATTGTAACGAAGAGGATAGCATAAAACACATTTAATATTGGCTTGAAGACACATTTAATATTGGCTTGCAAAAATTAACCCTTTCGTTGTTGAATTCATTACGAATGGACGTTAGGAATTATTCTTGTTTTTTTTCTACTTTATTTTTATTTACTTTCTAATTTAGGCCTCTTTATATGGTTATTTAACCCAAAATTGTCCTGAATCCTTTTTGAAGATCTTTTTGTTCCAATACTAAATAAAATAATAATTATTTTAAAACACTCTATTGAATTATCGAACAAACAAATTGAAAAGAAAAATTAATGAAATTTTAATGAAACAGTAACTCAGTTTTAAATTATGCAAAATCGCGTTGTTACTTTGTTTATTTTCTACGTATTCTTTTGCTAAACCGCCGAACAATCGTAATTAGATTTGTATGGCACATACACTGGTGACTTTAACTTAAAACCATGCAATAAAAATAATCGATATTTAAACTTCGTGAAAAAAAATCGTGCAGCAGCAAACCCTATTTTGAAGCACGAAACACTCATTTTCATAATACATTATTCATTTTTTTCTGAGATGTTTTTACATCGTGTAACGAATGAAAATATGATTCTTTTGATCAGAAATACACACTCGTTCGTGTAATTGGTATAATTCTTTTTTTTTTTAGGAAAAAAACTACAAAAGGAAAGTGCAAAATTCGCAAAATAATCGAAAAATCATTGATAATTTGAATTAATATTAAAAAAATATCATATAACAATCCATTTGATCTTATTTTAAATCGTAAAGTCTCTACTTTGGTAGTTTTGATTCTATTTTTTTTTTTTAAAGATGATTTAAATTGGAAATGAGGGTACTTCTTTTTTGAAAATTATAAAAATTCAAAAACATTTAAAAAGAGTTCTCTCATGATTAAATTCACTATGATTTTGAAATCTTCTCTTTATGATGATCTCACAAAAATTACCATACAATTTTTTTTCACCATCTTATTGAACTTTGGACATTAGGGTTAGACGATGAAATATTAGAATTTCTTGAATTTTTGTCTAATACTTAAAGTTGAATAAAATGTTGAAAAAAAATAGCAGATTTAAGAACCTTTTGAAAAAGAGGGACCTCATTTTTCAAAATGGTGGTGCATCTAGCCAAGAAAAAAATTTCTTAATATTGTTGCAAATATTTGAATGTTTAAAATTTTTCAGAAAAAGGAAATTATCCTCACCGATTACATGATGTAAAATTATCTTTGAGAAAGAAATTCACGACTATCAAAGGCTCACAAGCAAACGGGACCAAGTGGCTTGTTGTCTGATTTTTTTTTTTTTTTACAAAGTCACACCAATTTAAATTATCGATAATTTTTCATCGTTACTGGTTCAATTATACTCTCCACTGTATCACCATATTTCCATAATGTAAAAACATGTCAGAACAAAATTAACTGTGAAGATAAAGGTTTAAAATGTGCCTCAAGTGGAGGTGCCACAGATTTTGTACAATTTCAAGTGGCGCTCATTGTAAGTCTCCACCAGTTAAATCCCATTCCAATATAATACTAATACCTATCGAACCGGCAGGGAAAAAATAATCATCGAGCGAAGCAAGTACTTGAAAAGGCGCTATCTACTTTGGTGAAACAACCTCGAATTCCAGTAGCGTATAACCTAGGTATATTTGATGGTCGAGTAGATTGCTCGAGTTTCTGCAGTTAGGGGATAATGGTGATCATTTTGCTGCGCGCACGAGCTTTCGTGATGCATTCGTTTACCTGTATTTACGAGGGGTTGGCCTGTGGCCGCGTCTTGGCGATGGCGCGCCTCCCTTTCAACGATGTGGCCGAAAACAAAACGTCCTGTGTCACGATTTCTTCGGCTAGTTCTTAATTAAATCGGCGCCACAAGCAGCGGGCGTCGGCCATTTCCAAACATCGGCCGGCGCGGCGACGTATTTTAATTTCGTAATTGCATCGTGTTTTCGAGATAATAGGCCGAACGTGGAACGAGCTGCGTGACAAAAGCAATTCCGCTCGCGATAAACTCACTCTCTTTCTCTCTCTCTCTCTCGCCTCTCTCAGTTTCCTCCGTATGTGCACCTGCACACGAGCCACTCACGCGCAGAATAAGAGTGAATGTAGGCCTGCCGTTCTCTCCCTGTTCGTCGAAGAATGCAAAGTTCGCCCCGAACTCTGGCCACGCTCGATAACTCTATATACCGCTTTTAACAGCTATTGTTCCTCCGCGTAAAAAGAAACGATAGTTATTCGCCAAGTTCCGTCGGATAACGAAGCAGAAGCTGCGCCAAGCCTCAAGGCTTAACATTTTTATAAAGTGTCTCTCTTGTTGCGAGAGAAGCGGGGCTTTGCTCGTTCCCTTCAAGCTCTGGTCTGAATTGTATCGTCACATAATACGTTACTCGTGCCTGGTCACGGAATGCTTTTGTCTTTTTGATTTTGGAACTTGTAGATTGTAGACGATGATTCTTACTACACAGCTATAGTAGCACTTGGAACAAATTTTTGCTGTATTCTTTCTGACCTAATCGATCTAAGTCAATTATCATATTAGCAGTACACAATAACTTGTACATGATTGCGAACAATTGTGATGGTTGTGCAATATTGGTGACTGAAAATCATATTGTTAATATTAATATTATAATAGTCGTATCAATCATATTAATATTATAACAATCATACTAATCGTATTGATATTATTAGCTTATAACATATAGAACGTTTGATTTTCAACGAGCACAATATTTTTGAATATTCAATGAAATTTTTCTTTCTTTATTTAAGAAATTATTTCTTCATTCTTTATTGTTTAATTAAATTAATTCACCTAGTTGTGATAAAAAAATTTTTATCTCATTATCTTATTATTATTATCATTAATTATTCAATCTAATGAGAAATTTTTATTACGTTCTATTACTACGAATTCTATTTTTACGAAAATTTGGAGTCAGTAAATTCTTTAAAGGCATTTTTCATAGTTTCTTCATAATAATAAATGTTCTTCTTGAGAAAATAGTTCAGACGCAAATAGAGACTGAATCTACTTAAATCATCTCCAAAGAGTAGCGTAAACATTTACTGGAGAAAAGATTTAAAATATTCATACAACAGAATCGGACGTTTCATGTTATAACTTATAATAAGATCATATAATATTAAAATAATATTAAATGGAACGGCCTTTGGAAGTTTAAGATGAAATTTTAAATTAATTTTTAATTTTTACTTGTCCCCCCCCCCAATTATTCCTCTAATCTGAATTGATTCTCACATTTTGCAACTAACAAATATTCTAATAATATTATATTTAACTATAGTGAGTACTAATTAATATTAATAGTGAGTAGTAATAAAATTAATATTAATATTCTGTAATCTAACTAATATTATATTTAACTATAGTGATATTAATATTGCGTAATCTAACGTATAATATTAATATTCTGTAATCTAACTAATATTATATTTAACTATAGTAATATTAATATTCCGTAATCTAACGTATAATATTAATATTCTGTAATCTAACCAATATTATATTTAACTATAGTAATATTAATATTCCGTAATCTAACGTATAATATTAATATTCTGTAATCTAACCAATATTATATTTAACTATAGTAACATTAATATTCCATAATCTCACGTATAATATTAATATTCTGTAATCTAACTAATATTATATTTAACTATAGTGATATTAATATTCCGTAATCTAACGTATAATATTAATATTCTGTAATCTAACTAATATTATATTTAACTATAGTAATATTAATATTCCGTAATCTAACGTATAATATTAATATTCTGTAATCTAACTAATATTATATTTAATTATAGTGAGTACTAAATTAATATTAATATTCTATAATGTATATAATAATACAATAATATAATAGTATAATACAATATTATATTTTTGAG